TATCGTGACTTCGATGCACTCGGGCTTTACTAACAGCTCCCTGTGGCCACTTCATATGTCGCCGAGAATCGAATCCTGATTATCCGACATTGGAAAAATGGCAAAAAGGAGGGAAAATTCGAAAGGTTGTAGGTTGAGATGCGGAGTTGGTGTCCGAGTGGATCGAAGTCACGATAGCTCAAGTGGTAGAGCAGAGGCGTATTTAGCCGAAGGTCGTGGGTTCGAATCCCGCTCGTGACACTGGCTTTTCCATTTCAACCAAAACCCTACATAAAAAGATTAAGTAATTGAAAAAACTAATATATATTTTTATTTTTATATGTGTGGTGTTTAGTGACCGTTACTTGATGATTATTTGGAGGTCGTGAGATGCGGTCTGGTGTAACGTACGTTTTTAGAAAAACATTTTCTTTATCGTGCCAACGTTTCGATCTTTATGGAGATCATCTTCAGGGCTCAAAGTGTTTGTTTTCCGTGTAGATGCGTCATTCTTGTCTGTCGTGTTGAGAGTGCCCAATTTTATTTATTATATTATTAATTTATATATATTTTTATACTTTAGATAACACGTATTTATTTGTGAAAACTTGAAGGAACCTATATGGGATTTTTTTTAATTATTGGTTTATTTAATTTTTGAAAATATACATTATCCATTGTTTTCAATAGGTAAACAAACATGTGAACATTAATTTTTAAATATTTACCAGACTTTGAGTTCTTATTATTACAATGTACATAATATTACATATGTACATAATTTAAAAAATATGGACAAACTTTTAACGTCGACGACAGACGAGTTTTATTGGAAGATGAATATTTGTTTTACTTCATTTTCACGCTTAAGCAATATATAAGCTTCACTTATGTTACAAAACCACATGTCAACAATTGAAAAATGGAACAATCTTTGGAAAATAAAGTTTAACCCATCAAAGTCACAACGTATCACTTTTACACTCCCTCGTGAGACTTGTCCTAGTATATACTTACACAATGATCCTGGTCCTCAATCGGACAAAGTTAACTATTTGGGACTTACATTTGATAGAAGACTAATTTGGAATCCACACGCTCGATTAAAAAAACAAGCATTCAAAAAACGATTTAAAATGTTTTTTTACCTTCTCAACCGACACTCAAAATTACCATTAAAATCAAAATTTTCGACATGCACCAATTCAATCCTATTTGGATGTACGGGGGCCAAGCTGATGAATCGGCCGAATATTCCAATATTCAAAGATTACAAAAATTTTCAATCCAAATTTTCGAGACTAATCGTTTCTGCCCCTTTTATGAAAACAATAACCAACTTCACAGAGATTCTAACATGCCTACAGTTTTTTCATCCATCAAAATGTAAAATTTTAACATAAGCGACTGAAAAGAATATGAATCCAGAATGGCTGCCAATGGGTAGGTTTCTCTAAAACTCCTGTAATGCCATAAACATAAATTGTAATCCAATCTGCTGGTTGTACAGTTATAGATAAAAAATAAGTTAAAAAAACTTAATTCTCAGAACAATAATCATGATTAACCGTCATACTTTGATTTTAGCTGACATTTTGTTGATACTTTTGTATTGTAATGCCTTTACTTATAACTTATAACCCAATAAGTTTGAGGAATGCCGTCTTTTTTGTTATATAATATTGCTGTTGATATTTATCCGTGCGGTCTGGAGTGATGAACCTGTAATTTGGTCGTTACCGATAATTGCGGTCTGCCTAGCTCATTGGGTTGGTCTGTCAGACGCGTTTCATTGTGTCTCATATTAATATTATTGACAATAAAAACAGTATTTTAATTGTTGTGTCTGATTGGCTTAGTGAATTTTGGTGGGGTGCCTGACAGTACCAGTACAACGGTAAAAGCAGTTTATTTCTTTTTTAAGTTAAATTTTCTAGAGTTTAAAGTTTCTAACTGTTTAACGATCCTAACGATAAGAAAATGTTTCATTCTTTGTAATTTTGATTGTACTATTATTGACATATCTGAAACCTTTTCCTTTCTAAAGTTTCAGCTGTCTGATGACAGTTATGTTATTATTATGAGTTAACCGTTTTTCTCCCAAATTTATTTTTGATTGATCGACAAACATTGTTTTCCATTGCTTTAAAAAAAATCGAAAAATTTAATTAATTTAAGAATTCAAGTCTGATTCTTCGGGGGAATGAATCGAACGGCATTGTCGCATAGGGGCGAAACTATACTAGGTCAATTTCAATGCTTAGGTTTTGCAGGTACTACCACACCGGCTTAACGGTTTTACCGATCTAGCTCCGTCTAAATTCTTAAAATTTATTGTAAACCTCCAAAAACTAGTATACATTTTGTCAAGGCGACGGTCGTTCGAAGGATATCGGTTTCTTCAAGGATATGGTTGTGGTCACTTAGAAAGTGGTCGATACACGAGTTGAGAAGGTTTCGTATTTCTTCTGGCCGAGTACCTAGGATAAAATACGATTGGCAAACCACAGAAAGCACCTAAATAACATTATAATAAAATTAAAATAAATTATTTTACAGAATTACACAGAAGCAAGTGTACATTATATAAGCTATTGCCATAATTTTTTTACATAATAAAAACTTTGCATAACTATTAGAAATTAAATAAATTAAAATATTATTTATATTTTTAACTTTATAATGTTTTCCGATATCTAGAAAAAAAATCTGCACAAAATAATATATAATCGATTAGGTATCGTGGTCCGATTGACCTGTAAAAATTCATTATTTTCTTGCCAACCCAATATTTACTGTGTAAATAATTTCTATGACGTATGTATATTATATATTTTTTTCAATTAATTAATCTTTAAGTAAGGTATTGGTTGAGATAGAAAAGTCAGTGTCACGAGCGGGATTCGAACCTACGACCTTCGGCTTTTATCGAACCAGCCGAAGGTCGTGTGTTCGAATCCCGTTCGTGACACTGACTTTTCTATCTCAACCAATACCTTACTTAAAGATTAATTAATTGAAAAAAATATATAATATACATACGTCATAGATATTATTTACACAGTAAATATTGGGTTGGCAAGAAAATAATGAATTTTTACAGCATATATTTTTATGTCTTTACAGCTGATACGTTTTGAACTAATTGGAGATGTATTGTTCATGGTTTGCAATTAATTTTTGCCATCTTTCAAGTATTATGTCTATTACTTTTGCAAAACAATTCCCATCTTTTGCGTCAGGAACGTTTGAACAGCTGTTTGTAAACCTTTAAAACTATCAAAATTTTGGCAATTTAAATTTTTTAATGGCCGAAATAAATAGTAGTCGTAAGTGGAATTTCCTTAGAGTATGGAGGGTGTGATAAAATGTCCCATTTTAGATTAGTTAATCATTGTTTGGTCCTCAAAAAAACATGTACTAAAAGACCTACACCTTTTCTTTTTTGCTTGTGCAGGCCGTTTTTGCTTTATTTGAAGATCTAAACCTATTAGCTGTTCACAGTACAGTCCACTATTAACCGTTTGCCCTTGTGGTAAAAGCTCAAAATGTTTCAGATTGGACCTCTCCCTCCAGATGCATAGCATAAGTTTTTTTCGTGCATTGGTTGTTTTGGGACAACGAGGGGCTGTTGTCAATAAGTTGTTTGCGAACTTTTTGTGTTGTTCACTGTTACAATTTATGGAGAAATGTGTCGTAGTGACGATAGAGGAGTGAAGACCAAATTGGAATGAGATCCGCCAAATTCCTTTCGCTGAGTTCGTGCAGGTAAAGTACACTCCATGTAAAGTACACTTGAACAAACCCAAGTACTTGAATGTGGTTTCCAATGGTTGTACGAGAAACATTTATCACATCTCCTGGTTCTCGGGTCGTCAAAAAAGGGATTTTATTCTAGCCTCAATATGTCGTCGTACCACTGCGGACGTCTTCTTCAATAACAAAAAACTTCCTATTCTAAATCTAGCAAACCACTGTTGGACTTTACGAACATTTACAACATTAGTAACAAACACTGCACACAAATTTTCAGTTGCATTGTTCCCGTTTTCAAATTCATAAAGTAAACAATGCCTTCAATTCATTTCACCCAAAGGCATGATTACCTATTAAATTATTACACTGTTAGGTTATCTTGGAACTTTTCGAAAACCGATAATCGATTTTGCGGTGAGGTCTTTAAATTATTCGATAAAATATAGGTCTAGAGCTATTTCAAATTTCGCCAATTAATGTTTCTTCTCATAATAGCGTGTATGACTGTGGCCATTTTTCTTGTCTAGTCCGTTTTTCTCCGTTCATAATTCAAGTCTCATTTTAACGTCGGAGGAGTGTTGGGATTTCGTGCTAGGGTTCGCTTGAGTAGGTTGAGCCCTTGCTTTTGTAAAGGGGCATGTTTATTGGCTGCTGCTTGGAAATCTGAAGAATTGTCGAATCAGTGATGACTCCTGGTGTAAACTTTACTAAGCATTAATCCACAGTTAGAGTCCCCACTTCGTACGTATGAGCTCTTTCACTTTCTGGGACAGAATACTTTTAATTTATTAAAGACCGACAGAAAGAGATTATCAGACTTGAGCCATCAAACCCCAAAAAATAAGACCGACATACCACTCCCAAAATTAAGGAAGAAGCCTTCAGAAAATTCACCCCGACCCGACACTGAATATGGTAAATTGACTAACCTCGTCTGACAGACCAACACAGCGAAAATAGACGGATCGAAATGACGTGTAACGACCAAGTTACGGGTAGCCACGCAGTTTACATTGAAAAATCTCACAATAAAACAATAGCCTTACTATCTCTATCCGTCGCCCTGCATGTTGTGCTCTTCCCTCTTACATAATTGGCAGATTTCACCCGCATTATCGAATGACTAGTTGTAGGTCGTTATTCCTATTTTTAAAACAGAAACGAAAAATTAACCATATTTTTGTTTGTTACTATTGATCACTACAAGCAATATTTTTGTCTTGTTCACCACGAACTATAAACATTTTTGTTTTGGTATTTTTCAGGAATAGGTCCTAAAGCGCCGGATGGATGAAAAATAAACTTATCAGGGCATACAAACAGGAGTAGCTGTAGGTAAAAAAAACCTTTTGTATCAATATTATCAGAATAATCATGAACTTCTTTTTAAGTTCAAATTATGAATTGTGCAGTTTAAATATACTAAAAAACAAAAATCTGAACACTCCCATTTTGATGTTTATTTCAAACTGTGTGTATTTTATCGTTATATTAATTACATTATTAATTTATAATAAATAAAACGAGATCAGAAATTCAAGAGTTTAATAATAGTGGTGGTTTGAAATAAATGAATTTTGAAAGAAAATTCACCAAAACACCAAAAAATAAGTACTTTGTAATTAATATAACGATAAAAATTTATATATNATATATATGAAATATACAACAAAATACGAGTGCACTGTTTTTTGTCTGCGTATATTTAATCTATTGTAACAAAAAATAATATGGTTTGTTCAACTATTTCTAAATAGAAAAACTAGGTACTCAAATAAAAATTGTGGGTCCGATGGTGATAGGTGTTTTCCACTTGTTTTGCCTGGTTTTGGATTACAAATAATCAATTATCATTACACCAAATTTAAACAAAACGAATTTTTTGAAAAGACGATAAACGTTTAAAGGGGGGAAACGCAGCTGAAAGTTGTCCAGAATAACGAGATCTGGTTTCTGAAATGGGAACACATTCTGACTCCCTGACCTTTCCGGTCCGCTCGAAAATGTGATCCCTTCTCATCTTCACGCTTCAAAAATCCCAATTTCAAGTTTGCAAAAAAAATTGTGTTAATGAGGGGAATTAGTTACAAAAAAATAAGAACAAAGCATAATTCAAGTTATCTTGGACGATTGTAACATACGGAAATAGGACAAGTGGTTGTGGGATAGTGATTTGATGATGGCGGTATGATCTGGCTGGTCGGTTCTACGAAACTTATTTTGTTTCAATAATAAATAGTGTTTTCGTAAAATATGAAGATTACTATTGTAAACTTTTGTTCAGAAAGGTGTATTTTTTAAAATGCGTTATTGTTTTAATATTGTGTTTTATATTACACCAAACAATTAATAATGCAGCTCGTATTAATTATCTTCATATGCAAAGAACAACAAAACCATCACAAATTAGTAACACTATTTCCAGTCAAGAAAATGTGTTATGTAGAGTGTCGCAAGGATCAATTTTGGGCCAGTTATTGTTTGTAGTTTACATGAATGATGTGTATTTTGTATACAGTTAATAGCTTTAATTACATTAGCTTATACTAACTAGCTGATGACACGTCTTCTGACGTACATATACAAAAATGTTTATTTGTAGAAAGAATGCATCATATTTATTTATCACTATTTTAATATAAATTACCTACGTATTAAATATTAAATATTGGCCAAAACCAGTGTTTCATCTTAATTTTTAAATATATAAATATATATTTATAAAAATACATAAATATATATTAATAAAAATAAATAAATATTAATAAAAATGTATATTTAAATATAAATAAATTTTACACATTGTGTAAAATTTATAGATTTTATTATTGACGGTAGGCTAAATTGGCATGCACAAATTGACACAGTCATCACAAAACTGGATAAAATATGTTTTATTTTTTATGAGCTTAAAAACAGAAGATAATAAATTCTCTAAGAATTATATACATGGGTCTATTTCAAATTATTATAACTAGAGCCCGGATGTATATATTCTAAAAATCCTCAAATATTCCGTATAATATGCACTAAAAAACCCTCGAATATGCAATATTATCATCTTCATATATATATNTAGATTTATATATTGAAAGAAGTTATTTGGTCAATTAATTAACATTTTTATGTAAGATTTATAACTAGAGACACTGACTTAGATTAATTAATTAAAAAAAGTTATTTGGTCAATCGGACCACGAAACATAATGGATTTAATATGTAAAACGAAGTATATCTTCACTAAAGCTCTCCGTGATCATTTCATTTGTCGCCGAGAAACGACTCCTGATTACTCGGCATTTGAAAAATGTCAAAAAGGGAGAAAATTCGAGAGGTAGGTTGAGATGGGAAGTTGGTGTCCGAGTGGATAGAGAAGTCACGATAGCTCAGGTGGTAGAGCAGCAGCGTATTGAGCCGAAGGTCGTGGGTTCGATTCCCGCTCGTGACACTAGCTTTTTCATTTCAACAACCTTACATTAAAATGTTTATATATATAATTGTGAACGCCCAAAACACTCCACGGATTTTCGCTCTTAATGGCTTAATCAAAAGCCCTACCTCAAATTTATTCGGAAAATTAATGAAAGTATAAATTATTGATCATAAGGGCGATGGTAATTAAAATATGATGGTTGAGGCCGGCTTCGGAATTCAAACGTGTCATCCGTCGGCCGATGTGTACGTCTCTTCGCCTTGCAGTTACAGTACTTTTCTATTAAAAAAAAAAAATTTCCGGCTTAGGTCGGATGTTAGGTGATAATAAACATTTTGAGGCCGAGAAAACCTTCATTTTAACTCCTCATGGCCTTATTTGACTCCCAGAAGCACAAATAGTTTGAAGGTAAAGGAACTAGTCCTTAATTGTCCAAATTGTATGAACAATATACAGAATTATAACAGCGCAATGGCATTAAGAAATGCCCGGATTTTGACCTTACCGTTTTATACATGGACAGATTCACCGATTCACGTCTATGTTGCCAAGTTGTTAAAATCCAAGTGAAGTTAAAGTTAATACGGCCAGTTATATTTTATACACTCGAAAACTGTGGATGTGCTGAAAATAAAAAAGTAGACCAAGCAGTTCCTAGTAGCATTATTTTGGCTAAAGCCCTTTATGCGAAGGGTGCAACTGAAACCGAACGAAAGGTTTAACTTGAACTTGCGTTTTGTTGATAGTGTACCGTTGATGTACGTAGATTTTAACAAATAAACAGCAGGGGAAATAGCTGTAGTTTTCCAGTCTGCAGAAGAACCACCAGTTCGACATATCATTGTGCACTGTCGTGAAAGAGGTCCAAAGTTAATTTCTGCTTTAAGCCCTCATGTTGTACCCACTAATCTATCCGTTTAGGGAGCCAGGATGGGAAAAGAAAACATTCGTGAATGACTAACAATGCTACAATTTACTTGCTATCCACTTATCGTTTTCCCACGTTCATAAATCATATCGTTCCCTGATTCGGACAATAGAATGGGGCTATTGCCCCAACATGCCACTAGTATGCACAGAAATCTTTAAATATGGCATGTAATTTGCACTAAATATATTGAAATAAGCAGGATGAATGTCAGATACATCACACGACTAATAATAACTTGTTTTCTAATCTAGATTTCTTTTGGTCTAGTACATATTCGTTTTGAAAAGAATAGAACAACATAGAAAATTTCCAGTAACACAAAAAAAAACCATATAATTTAAAATATTATACAAAATACATAATTAATAAACGAAGAAGAACATAATAAAGCGACATGATCTGAATTAAAATTGACGTTTATACACATTTCGAAGTTAGTATCTGTAAAACTACAGCGTTTACCGATCAAAAAATATTTGTACCTTGTGAAAAAAAACTTTCCAACGGCAAATCGGTGAAGCATACTCGGAAGAACTTAAAAATTGGATTTTTTCCAGTTAAAATTTCATTAATTTACTAATGTACAGTCAATAAATATTTTTTAAATTCTTGTATAGATCACTGAAAGCCGAATAAAATTGTATGCTTTTGTCTTTTTCGACTCCTGTTCTTAGTTGATTAGTTTATTTATTATATATTTATAACATTATTCAAAAAATATATAATTCTATTTAAAAAAATAAATATTAAGTTTATTAGGTTTCGTGGTTCACTTGACCAAATAAATTCTTTTCAATTAATTAAGGTTTGGGTTTAGATAAAAATTGAAAAATTGCAAAAAGGAAGGAAAATTCAAAAGGTGGGCTTGAGATGGGAAATTAGTGTACGAGTAGGTCGTGGGTTCGAATCCCGCTTGTGATACTGATTTTGTTTATCTCAACCAAAACCTTAATTAATTGAAAATAAATATTAAAAGAAAAAATTGTTGATGTAAAGGAATGGAAATGATAGATATATTGTATAGTACAATTGTATATTGTATGTACTATAATTGAATATTTATAATAGTTATTGGAAAAATTGTAATTTTCTCCTTGCAAATAAATAAATAACAAATAGAATGAGCACCTGGAAATTTTTCCCGTCCTGCTGATCGGCCTTGCCGTGTGTAAAATCCACTTTTTAAATAAATTCAAAAAAAGGACTAAATTACTCATTTAAATTTGAAGGACAGCTAGTACCCCATTCATTTCCTAATTGACTTTTAACCTTTTTATTGTTGCCTTCGTTTTACATACGAGCCAGTTGTTTAGATATTTTTTCACGTTTTATTCGTTGATTCCGGAAGCTACAAGCATTTGTTATTAGTCTGTTTTAAATCCAGTTTTGTCGAAACTACTTTTTACAATATTAAAGAGAAGGCTTGCGGGACTCAAACCCACAACCTCCTGAGTTTGAGTCCCTCTCGTGACACTATTTTTCATCTCAGCCGTCTCTACATTATATTAATACTAGTTAATATAACTAATAAACAATTTAATAAGAATAAATCCAGTTTTACTTTTTGTAATTAAAAGAAAAAATAGCAATTTTTAAAATCATATCTGATTCGGAAAATTGGTTATCTCAGTGTCTTAGCAAACAAATTAGCTTTGTTTTAAACAAAGATAAACGTCCATACACATTTTATGAGGCCAAGAAAATTTATTTCAAATTTGTGAAGTGTACAATTTTAAAACGGGTAATTACCCATTAATAATAATTTTGTATTTTTTCCACTTAAAATGTGACGTTCCATAATTTCAACTATAAAAATTATTATTTTCTAACGACACAATTTTCGTAACTATAAATACACGTATAAGCGTCAATTGAGCAAAATTAATGAAAATTTTTTAGATTTAATCATTTAATCATTTAATCTAATGGTCGCTACTTACCCTATAGAAGGCTGTAGAAAAACAAAAATATAAACTATGTGAATAGTAAATTTTCACGTACAATAGTTTTTCATGGTCTCAAAAACGAAATAACAATAATAATACAGTATTAGTTATAGTTGTTTTAAGTGATTTTTTTGGCATTTTGAAAATCCACTGCGAGGCAAAAAAACGTGCACTCTTAATATTTTTGTTTTAACCACAATATCTGTTTTAAAGGATTAGGAGTAAATATAGCAAACATAAAATCTCCCACTTGTGTTTTCAATTAGATTTTGTATTTCTTTGAATAGTTATTCTCTTTCTGTTAGGTTTTCTGTAAAGGTTACTCTCTTACACAAGCACATATCACAGCATATTTATTTATTATTTTATTTACAAAACACGCAAAAAAGAAATAGAAGTCGATAATACTAATATATAGCCATTATATTTAGTGGTCTATTGACCAAATTACTCTTTCCATTAATTAATCTTTTTATGTAAGGATTTGGTTGAAATGAAAAACTTAGTGTCTCGAGCGGGATTCGAACCCACGACCTTCGGATCAATATGTCGCAACTCTAACCAGTTGAGCTATCGTGACTTCGATCTACTTGGACACCAACTGCCCGACATTTCAACCAAAACCTTACATAAAAAGATTAACTTCTTTCTAACGTTCTGGTAGTTCGATCTTTTTAAGTTGTATCATTTTTAAGTTTCAAATTTGTTTGAGTGGTGATTTTAAGTGATTCAGATTCGACTAGAATCAGCATAGATGGAAGTCAAGCCTATGTGGTCAAAGTGCTTAACATTCCAAGAACAACTATCCGAATGGTCCTTCATCGCTACCATGATATTGGAGGTTACTCAAGAACTCATCGTGTTATATCAGAGAGAGGATCGCTTTATTGTTTCATTGGCATTCTACCGCTGTTGAGATCAAGCAACGGCTTCAACAAGTTAGAGATGTTAATATCACTGTAAGGCGAAAACTTTCACAAGCTGGATTACGAGCGCGGCCTGGCCGACAAGTAATCGCATCAATTGTCTGAGCAAGAGTGGACTAAAATCTTGTTTTCGGATTATTCAAGGTTTTATTTGAGATCTCCTGACGGCCGAGAAAGGGTTTGGAGAAGAACAGGATATCCCTGCAACACTTTTACTAAGGAGAAGCGATAGAGGTGGAGGTGATATGGTTGTAGCAGGAATTTCTGAAGAAGGTCGCACAAACTTGATCTTCATTGAGGCTTCCCTATCAGCTGCGCGATACATTGAAAATGTGTTATCAGAAGAAGTAATTTCTTATATGCCACTAATTAGCGACGGTTTTTTTTATGCATGACAAGGTAAGGCCCGCACAGCTTGAATCGTTGGTGACTATTTGGAATGTGCTTCAATTCGTTTGGCGTGGCCAAAATGTAGTCCCGACCTAAACATTATCGAACACCTTTGGGCCGAGTTGTTAAAGATGGTAAAATGTTGCCCAGTGATGCCAGAGAATTTGCAGGAATTAAGAATGGCGCTGTTTGAGGTGTAAAAAAATATTCGACAGCACTACTTTCAAAACCTCATAAAAATTTTGCAGATTTTGGATGCACATGGAATGCAAGCGGTGATCAACGCAAGAGATAATACTCTCTACTGAGTTGAATATTTTCTTCGTTGTTTCCATAAAGTTTTTGGTAAAATTGTTTTGCACAGTTTAATTTTTTAATTAATGGGGGAGCATCTATTTTGCCTCTCAGTTTAGTTTTTCTTTAAGACTTTTAAGAAGTTTTATACATCCAATTAAAGATCAAGTCATTTCGTGCGCATGCAGAAAATATGCCTGACGATTGGATAAGGAAGAGCCTTGGCCATTCATTGTCGCAAGGCAACTTTTCTTCATTACTCTCCTCTCGGGCCGACCTTTAAATTATTCGCCGTAGGTCGACATAAATTGTCAGATCACACCTTATATTTGTTTATCCTTTACTCCAAGAACCTAAGGAGTATCACAACGAAATTAGTTTAAACAAAAATTATCCTCAGAAAATAGTGAAAATATTTCATCGCACATATTAGGGCATAGTTTGAAGGATAACCTAGGGATCTTCAAGAAATCGAATACAACGTAATTTATTTATTTATTTTTAATTGAGAAAAATTATTATAAACACGCTCCGTGGAAGGTGTGGAAAGGTCGGGTACAAAATTCCTGAATCTTTCAGTTTATCATCATCTTTACTTTTTTCCGTTAACAGGAATGTTATTCTCCCATAAGACTTTTCAAAAGGAGATATCTCGCAAATCACCCAGAATGACAGATAATGACCACCATTCACCTTATCTAATCCGTGTCGTGCCGGATTTCGATAAAGAACAATTATTTACGTTTCAGAGAAACGAAGTTTATTGGATCTAGCCGACCAATGGTATTACTGATGATGATTCATGTCTATGATTATCAAATTAAGCCAGCATAGCTGATTTAAATTCATTTTTATACCTTATAAAAAAATTTAAAAAATCTCAATCGTTCGTTGTCAGTTGTTTTGTCCATTGATTTTGACGATAAGTATATGTTTTCTCTAGAGGCTAGAGAGTGATACTCACAACAAATTATGGACGTATATTGTGCAATTTTTATAAATCGTTAAGCCGTGAGGAATGGTCAGGTATGAAATATTTTAGAAAAAGATCAGATCATCTTCAGGACCTCGGTGAACTACAAAACATTTGTCAATTGGAAAAAATACATAAGTAAATAATATAAATTTTAAACCGAGAATTTCATACTCAGATAAAGTGTGGTGTTATTCTTGTGGTATCATATTTGTTTCGTGCGAAATTGCTGTGAAACGTGAATATGTATTCTGCTGTTTTTATTCGATTGCGACAGGGTGGGGAACGCGGTAAATCTTAGAAATTTTTTTTTATCATAGGCGGTTTTATTTGTCTCAAAGAATGTCAGTATAAAAACAGCAGAATGCAAATTCGCGTTTCACAACAATTTCACACGAAACAAAAATGACACCACAACTTATGTGAGTATGAAATACTCGGTTCAAATGTATTGTATTTTGTCCAATCGTTTTGTAATTCATCCAGGCCCTGAAGATAATTCGAGTAAAGGTTGAAACGTCGGCAAAAAATGAAAAATGTGTTTTCCTAAAATACTTCATTACTACATAAACTCGGAAGTTACATGTACGTACAGATGGATTTTTTATAAAAGGGATACTCTAGTGTCGGTTTGTTGTTTATTTGGCTTGAAATAGCATCTATTTAGATTTAAGTGCCCGTACAGATGGATACACATAATAAGTTCAGTTAGGTTTGAACAACCAATTCTCACTTTTCAATAATAATTCAAGACAACACAATAGACCAAGGTAAAATCGTATTCGATATTCAGGCGAGCCACTGATTAACAAATATACAGTTCATTTGATACTCTCTCCGTGTTTAGTGAAAGTCCATTTACGGGATTAGAATTTTATTTGGTTATTTCCATACACTCAGTTGTTGAATCCTAAAATAATTACCACAGAGAATTATCGGCCAGTGATGATAAAGAAATTGATGATTGGGATCAGGTATGTGGTCCAAAATGAAGTAGTAGTATCTTTTTTCCAAGCTTTCTGCTTTTTATTAAATCTTCCTCAGGACTGGATACTTATTTAAAAAAACATAAATAGTTAAAGGCAAGTATTTCGAGTTTTTGGAATTTTATCCTTCTGACCCGGAATGTTGAAATTGGCCTGAATCCTTTTCAATTTCCGATTTTTTTATTTCACTTTTTACCAACCAGTTTTCAGTGAAAGTTTATTTTTCAGGAGTTGTCGGTGGTTGTGATGTGGGATGTGGAGATGGGAGTTCTGGGTTGGTGCGCTTCTGTGCACAGCCAGCTGTGCTTTATGCTCCCTAGAGAGTCCGGAACTTGCATTGTTGCTCGCCAACGAGAGCCCACCAGTCGCTGCCAAGAGGATCACCCCGAAAAGCGTTTTCGTAGCGCCTTCCTTCAGCCAACCCTCCTGTGCCGAGGGTTACAGGCAGGACGCCCTAGGCCGCTGCGTCAGAATAGTCAGGATCAACGAGGCCGCCCAATTGGACTTCTTCCTCCAAAGGCTAAATTCTATGCACGCACCGCCGGTTAGGCAAACGATAATGCACAATGCCGGCCCACTCAGGCTGCCCATACCATTAGGTAACTTAAACCAAGCATATTTTTAAAATGTATGTACATAAACTGCTCAAAAATGAATAGGGATATTGCAAATTTTGTAGTATTTACTTTCCCTAGCATTTTTATTTTATTTTTACTATAAATCGTATTACAATTTACGATAAATTATGTTTTTTACTGAAGGAAAATTTAATTAAGGGGTTATGAAATATAACAAAATAAAATAATTCCTAAATTTTAAACAATTAATACCGTGTATAATGCCCTCTGTTAACTAAAACCTCTGTGCACCTGTTAGGCATACTGTTAATAAGTTTGTCACTAATTTCAAAAGAAATTTCACTCCATAGATGTTTCAACGCTGCACTCAGTTGGTATAGATCATCTGGCTGTGGATGGTAAACGAAAACCCTTCTCTGCAACGCATCCCCCCATGATCAATGAGAGTGAGGTCTAGAGACAAGAGGGAAAGGAATAAATTAGAAATTCCCAGGTTCTTTAAACATTGATGAACAACTCTGCGTCTATGAGGTCTGGGGCATTGTCATCCTGCCAGTGAGATCCCTGGTTTGAGGGATGTATTCCTCGATAATTGGACATAACGGGCTGCGGTGAGGTCGCCTTCTTCGATACGAAGACCATTTCGTCCTCCAGTGGAAATTGTCGCCCTGACCATTACTATGAAAAGTGTCCCGTCTTTCACATATATATATATATATATAGTGTATGTATGTATGTATATGTGTGGGTATATGTGTCGTAGATTTAGAAAAAGGAAGGGTTAGTAGATCAAATCCCAATTTTGATGATGTAGATTTAAAGAGAAAAAAGGGTGTCATTAGCAGAATGTTAAATAGAAGGATATCTCGGAGACGCGATCGTTTGTCAGGATTGGTTTTCCTTCTGAATCCGACATAGTAAAGTAATCCTTCATAGTTCATTACATCGTTTATTAACTAAAATCCCCAAACCATGAATTCAAGCCGAAGTCAGACAATCCAAAGCACGTTCATTCCATAAAAATCTAACAACGTTCTAGCCCACTAGTCTTCGCGACGAACTGTCAATTGAACCACAACTATTGCCGTACTGTCAACCCCCGACTCGCGAGTCGTGACTACTCTTTTTGTAGCACCGGTTCTTTGCCAAAACCCAGAGAGCACTACGTGGACATTCTTCCCCTTGACAGCTATACCTTTGCATATATCCTTGCGAATATATCGCTTTACTTTGGAGGTGATTATTGTCCAAGGAAGACACGAAATGTGTTCGACCTTTACTCATCCTCATGCTAATGGTTTAATACAGTTAATACAATAATCTTTACACAATTATTAATTCGTTAGACAACTAATTAGCTAAACTAAGAAATAGTCTTCTTCTCCCATCATACATACATATATTGGTATATGTCATTGTTTCTTGAGTTATAATTCTTTCCTGTAATTAATTGCTTTTAATGTAGCCATATAATGATTTCCAGATTTCACCATTCAACGCATTTATCATGGATCATCTGCTTAATACATTTTGAATATAGTATCTGTAAATCTCTTAATATTGGGCATTCAAAAAAAATTAAAATGGAAGTTTGAATTAGAAAACGTTACCTTCACCAAAATCACATACAAACAGACCTATCCAATGAAAACAACCAAAAATTAACAAAATTGTTAGTTTATTTAAAACAGTAATTATAAATCTTTATAATTTTGGTATATACTTATTGATGGACACCACCCTTAAATTTTATTGTATTTAGGTTCATTCATATTTTGCATACCAAAAATAGGTTTAGTTGTGAAAATAAGTCATATAAAAAGAAAATGTTTATTACCTAATTCTAAATAAATTGAGTAAAGGAAAAAACAGAAAATTCAAAAACAAATAAAAATGGTAAAAAAATTTTTTAACCCTTTAAAACCGAATATTTCAACCTCTGGCATGAATAACGTCCGTTAAACACCTTCACATTCCTTGGAGAAAATTTCTGATAATATATTAATGAATTCTTTCTTTATCATCAGGAACAACCGTTTCCAAATCGTCTAGGGTGCTAAAAACTGGGTTTCGCCGTCATACTCGTTGCTTAAGTTGTTCCCAAATGTGTTCGATTGAGTTCAAATCTGGACTTCGAGTTGGCCACACCAAGCTCTCAATCCCCCAACCTCAATCAGGAGGTCATCCACAATACATATTCTATGGGCCTGACGTTATACTGCATTAGCAAGAATCTATGACAGACGTTGGGGCAAATGGCACTACATGTTCTTCAATTGTCTTGCAAGCACCCCTGTGAAGGTAGAGATTTTCCTCGCATAACAGCAAATTCTGTGCAGCGTCCAAAGAAATGCCAACCCAGAGCATCAATGTCCAACATAGAAGGCCACCTGAGGAACCATATAGCATAAGGCGTACCTTATTCTTAAACATCTTATGAAATTACGCCTATCTGATGATATGAGGACAATTCTCACTTCATCACTTCATCTGTAAAGAGAACTCATCCCCCATCTTCCAATGTCCAATTCATATGTTCCCATCTGAATTGAAGCCTGGTCATTTCTGAGCTGTGGTAAAAAGAGGTCCACAGGCTCCGAAGTTATTTTCATTGAGCCTTCTTCGTGGACAGCCCTTGAGGAAATCGAAACATTTTGGACTTGTCAACAGATTTCTTATCTAATTTCACTTAATTGTGCGGTCATCAGGCTGACAGATGAATCTATTGTCTCTCTCGTCTGTAGACCTAGGTCGACCCTGTCCTGGCCTTCGAGCGTGAAGCCCTGTTTCTCTGAAGAGCCAAAGAACCCTTTCTATTGCATAGAATGATGAATGATTCACACTCAGTCTCTTGGTGACTTCGCACTGACTGTATCCTTCCTGTAATAATGTTATGACCCTGAGACTACCTTACTCAAATGCCTGACTGAAGCCATTGGGCCATTGAAAAAATTTAAGAATAAGAAGAATATCAAATGGAAACTATGATGGAAAAAGATTAACTGAAAGCGATTTTTAGGCGTAGCAGAATGGAAAGGCATAATGCTACTTTTTGTGCAAATGGGATTAATCAGTTCAAAAGTAAATAAAGGAAAAAACAAAGAAATCAGTGTACAACAATATCAAATTTTATTTAGCTATAGTTTTATAACTTTTTATTCTCTTCTTAAGTTTTGTCTTTTTAACTGTTTACAATGAACACAACTTTTTTATTATTAGTCTGTGTTCTAGGCTTCCATGTTAATTTAAATTAATATTTATTTGTTTAAATAATTGATTTAATGTTTAGGGACTACTACAATGGGACCAATGACAACGTCGACAGAAGCGACAATGACGACAGCAGCTACGACTACTATTACGACAACAACACTAAGTGAAGAAGAAGAGATTCCAACATCGACTTTCCCAAGTACAACAGCTTCGCAGGATATTGAAGAGACGGAGACACCTCTCCTGATAATCGTGGCCAATACGACCGAACCGACCAGCACGTCGTCGGATGCTATGAGCACTGTCACAAACATGGCATACACAGAGCCGACTATAACGACTGAGTCGCCCGAGACGACGACGGTCCCTCTGCCTCCTTCGACGTACTTCCCGATGCGGTACGTCCCAGTCAGATTTCCTGAGAGGCCAACTATCGTCAGGTTCCCGAGCGGCGTTCATGTCTCCGTCTCCAACCCAAGCTGGTGGCCACACTCTTGGGAACAGTGGCCCTCTGTGAGGAAGAGGGGGCACCGTGAACCCAGGCCTTCTTGGATCAATCAGTGAATTTAGAAAAAAACAGTATTTAAACCAAAGTGAACTCTTATCAAGTAGTATTTATAAAATAAGTAAAAATTATATTCATCTCCTTTATCAATAAATATGTGTGTATGTATGAATGTGTGTTTTCACACAAGATTTTTTATACCTTGTAGATGTCTATTTATTGTATATATAATTATTATTTGTAAGTCTTTATGTAGCCCATATTAAATTGATTACTGTTATTTTTTCTTTTTTTAAGTAATACAGTGTTCTCTCTTATATAATCAGCAGAAACTGCAGTTACCATACAAGTAATAGAGAAACATTGATCTACAAATATATTCACACTTGAGCCTTTTCTTGCCACCAATCAACCTGTCAGTACTGTAATTGTTGTAAAAATAAAATATTAATTATTTGTCAGAAAAAAATAAAGTTGGCCGGCTCAACTTTTAATTGAATAAATCATCGACTTTCCTTAAAGGAAGACTATTAAATTTCAAATTAAATTATTTTTGTTTTAAAACTGCGCACAGCAAATCATTTTATAATTTGGTAGTTTTTTAATTTTTTATTGAATACGATAAACTTCAAAAATTGTTTTGTCAATTATCATCATGAATTTTTGTTTTCACATTTTAATTTTTTTCTGTTTAAGAAAATAAAAAACCTGTCCTCATGAATTTTACTAATGACTGAAATGTTTAGTGGAAAATTACTATTTTTTTTAATCATACTAATATATTGTTTTGTAATAATGAAAACCTATAGAAAAAAGTTAGTAAAAAAATTTTGTTGTGCGTTGATAATCTTCAGCTAAAATGTTGCTGTATTTTGCATTGCAATTATAGACAGAGTAGTGAAATCATTAATTTTATTGCACTACCAAATTCATATTCTGTGGTCCAGAGTTCCTACAAACACCAAAAGTATATTAGGGGCAAATTAACAAAATCTCATTTGTACGATAACTTGTCAAATTATTAAGTTATTTCTTATCTACTACACATAAATACTGTAAAATAAAACGTATGTCTAATTTTTAGAAATTGTATAATAATAAATAATAATAATAATATTAATGATAATGATAATAATAATATTGTACAATTAAATTAATATTATTAATGATACTGAAAATTAATAAAACTGTTTAATATGTTGTAATCTTTTTGTACGACTTTTATCCATTACTGTATATTACAATAATGGTGTGATAAATAAAGAAAAAATTAAACCTCAAGTTTGAATAAATTATTCAGGGTGGTGTTTTGTGAACAAAAACTGTCTCGATATTGACACCTAGTAAGAAATAAATCGTAATTTATTCCAAAAATAATACAGATTATGTTTCTTTTCATTAAGCATTTTCAAGTAACACACTAAAAATAAATACATTTTAAGAAAAATATTTTGACACCTTTGATTTTCTCTAACGTTGATTTTTATCAAAAAAAGAGAATAATCGCATCTCAGTAGAACTTCATTGATTACGATACTGCCACTGCGCAACGAAAAAAGACAATAGTTCATAGAAATTATGGAATATTTTCTCTTAAAACTGACTAGCATAAATACCTACCTAAAGCATAAGCACCATAAATGTACCTATTTACATTTACAAAACCATTTGAAACATTAAAAACAAATAAGATTGAAATAATCATAAATCCATGAATTGCATAATATTAAAAACCAGAAAGAACAGAAAGAAAAAAGTAAAATTTAAATTGTTTTAGGCAATCGAAAAATCGTGAAATTTTGTCTGTGTGGTCTCCAGGTTGATGAATCTGTAATTTGGTCATATCGATCATTTTGGTTTGCCTATCTCCACCGGGTTGGTCTGCCGACTGTCTGATGTGTTTTGGGATTTTAGCCACACCGAAGATAGCGAAATGCTGAAACATGTCTGATTGAAGTGAGAATAAGCAGACCAAAACAATGGAATGAGTAATGACCAAATTGCAAAATTAAAGATGGTTTAATACAATATTAATTTATTTACAAGTTATAATACAAATAGTTAGTTTTATTAGCAGGATACAATGTTCAACAAGAATACTTTTTAATTTTCTTATAAGCTGATTATAGTTGTTATTCTGTGACATTCTAGATTGGTCAAACATAAATATAACTAAATTCACTATTTTTTGTGGTCTGCTTGACCAATTAATAACATTCAATTAATTAAGGTTTTAAGTTGAGATCTCAAAAATTCAAAAGGTGGGGTTGAGATGGGAAGTTAGTGCCCGAGGGGATTGAAGTCACGATAGCTCAAGTGGTAGAGTAGTGGCATATCAAGCCGAAGGTCGTGGGTTCGAATCCCGCTCATGACACTGACTTTTTTATCTCATCTTAAAACCTTAATTAATTGAACATAAATATAACTTTAAAGGTAAACTTGTTCAGTACGAATTTTAGTAAAATTACTAATAGAACTATTTATTAAATTTATACAGTAGTAAATGTAATTTTACTTAATATACATTTGTAATCAAACTAGATTCTTTTACATTTTATGTTAACATTTAACACATATTCATGCAAACATTATAAAAAAATTATTTATTCTTTTTTTATAGTGTCTTTTTAGTGTCACAAGTGGGATTCAAACCGACGACCTTTGGCTATTGGGTTAGAATCCTGCTCATGACATTAACTTTTTCATCTCAATCAAGACCTTAGATAAAAAGAATAATTAATTGAAATAAGTAATTTGGTCAATGAGACCACTAAACATAAATGGATTATAAAAAAAGTTAATGATTTTATTTTATTTTTTATTTATTTTTTAATGAGGGTATTTCAATTACAAGGTTATATAAACCCTTGGGCTACTGGGCTACTGGTATTTTTCAATTGATTTTATTTTTAAATAATTTCTTTAACAGAAATAGTTTTTAATTTGAAAAATGATAACTCTTAAATGTAATAAATTGTTAAGTTGCCTTCAAATTCTATTTACAAATAACAGATTTTTTAAAATTGCCAAAATTTACAGTAATAAATTTGCAGTAGGCATATTATATCCATACATATTTAAAATTGACTTTGAGATATATTACACAAGGAACTTGAAGAAGAAATATAGCATTAAATTAAATAGAAAAATGTTATTTCAGTAAAACACAGAATACAAGTACAAAGAAATAAATTCTTCTGACTACTTAAGTTTTTTGCAAAATATAATACTTATGAATAATATCAATAAAAACTAACCATTTTTTATTTTATTAAATGTTTGGGTTTAAAAGTTCACATTTTAAAATTTGTAACAAATAACACTACTATACTTATATATGGTAGTTATTGTAGTACTAAACCATAATAAATATTAGTTTTATGAGCAAATCTTTTCTATTTAATTTATATAGTTGCTTGATTGAGTAAGAGACCGTTCTATTTTTATTTTAAAATTATACTGTTAATGAGTATTATGAGATATTTTTTATGACTAGTGTTACACATTTACTTCTTACTACACTCTGTTCTAAAAAAAAAAACTAATACAATAAAACTGACAAATTAAATGTATATCATAGTACTAAGTGCGCACATTAACTTTACAATTGAAACAACATTAGATTTGTGTTTAATTTAATCAATAAATTACATTTATACTAATGTTTAAAATAATGTGTTCAATAAATAATTATTTATATTATTCACTAAATAATTTGCTTTATGTAATATGAAATTCTCTAATTAGCAAGCATTTGAGAGTTAAATAATTTATTTAAAACATGTTCATAAGTGACTATAGTACAAGTGACATTTAATTTTCTAAATTTTCCTTAAACTCATTATTTGATATTATATAATTAAAGTTCACTAAAACAAAATTTTAACTTTTAAAAAATAAAGCATTACAGGGTAATTTGGATGTAAAGTGAAATTTGAAATAATTGAGAAAAGGTAAAAATTTTTAAACAGTGTAATGTCCTCCTGATGAATTCTGGGTCCCATTTTCAAATCGGCCTTTTAAATTATTATAAACGAAAATGAGGATTCCCAAGGCGATCGTTACAAGCACTACGTACAACAGGCCATAGCCGATGAGGACTTTGCGCCACATAACATCATCTTGGACCTGGAACAAATATACAGATATATATAATAATTCCGTTGACTGGATTCTAACATTTCAGTAAAATTAATATGTGTATTGCATATTATTATATTTTTATTCATTAACACTCAATATAATTATAATTTAGATAATGAATCGTTAATAAAGTTATATTTTAGCACTGTTAATTTTCAAAGTTCTATTCTGTTCATTATTTGATTTAGCTTGAAATTCTATTTTATAAATTTGCCCAATATAACTTGTCTCCAGGAAGTATTTTTTAGTTTGTCATACCCGTGTTAAAATTGTTAATCCATTTATAGGTGGCAATAAAATGCTTCAATAACTACAAAAGTAAGTAGTAACTGTGCAAATATATGGGCTAGAAAAACACTTCCTGCATGAGGTTATAGTTGACACCGAGCTGAATGAAAAAGATAATATGCTGAGAACCCACATAAGGCTGTTAGTAATAAAGCTAAAGAAACCCTGGCTTTGGCAGGAGCAGAAATGGAAAAAGTTACACATTTTAGAGAAACATCAGTCACGGTGAGTATATGGCCTAAATGGCTGCCATTCTATTCGTGCTGAGTGAGTTGAAAAATCTGTATGCAATAAAATTTGTGATGTGGACAGACTCTCTCAGCGCGATCTCAGCATTAAAAATAATTACAAATTCTCCACGGACCCGCTAACACAAGCCATATATGAAAAGGCAGGTAGACTGGGTCGTATTTGCCTGGACCCTGGGTCACATGAAAATCCAGGGCAATGAAAATATGGAAAAAGTGGCAAAAAGAGCCCTGACACGACCCAGTCCAGTGGATGTTAAAAGAAAAATTAAAAATACAAGTTATGAAGAATGGCGAAACCGCTGGACTGAAATGTCAGAAAAACTAAGAAATATTAAAGGCACAGTCAAACGGTGGCCCATGGAGAAAATGAAAAAAAAAATAATGAACTCAACAAGACTGAGGATAGGCCATATGCGTCTCGCCCATGGCCATCTTCTGGAGGGTAGACAATGCCCACAGTGTTACGAGCCAGTGACAGTACATCACATACTGGTGAAGTGTGAGAAACTAAAACATTATAGATTATGGTATGGTCTACACCCAGACAAAAAGGAAATGTTGGTGCATAACAGTGACTACCAGCAGAATTTACTGGAATATTTATGAGTGGAGAAAGTGTATAACTTACTATAATCTGCCCCTTTACATATGTGCAATATGAATGTATTTATTAGTGAGAATGCTGGATGTATACTTTGATGGTCTGTTATCGAGGTTTAGTCGTTTTTGGTATGAATGATAGTAGCGATTATCGGTGGAATATTAAATACCCCGTTTGCCCCCTATTTATATTTTATTTGTACCTATATAACATATATGCAGACTGAGTGTATTAATTAGTATGATTGATGATGGGTGAATATCGATTGTTGGTATGTCCCAGGCCATTGCAACCATAAGAAAAGCATTGATTACATAGACTAATTTACGGTAGAAAATGTGTAAATATTAGAAATGCAGAGAAGAAAAATGATGTGTGCCGAGTATGACCTAGCTGTTTGCTGGCAAAAAAATTACACATTTCATAGAACTAATTTTTGTTACAAGTCTGCACACCACAGATTATAGGATCTTTAAGTGGATCGTTAAGTTTATTCAGTAATTCAAATATTATTATTTTTAAGTACTTACTAATATTTTCATAATTCAAATTGTAATTGTAAGCGACTGTTTGTTTTGTGCTGGTGGTTCCTTTATTATATAAAACACCATGATGGTAATAATAGTCGCACCTACAATTGAGAAAAAGTCGACCTGTTCTTCAAAGAAAACAATCTGGTATATATAGCCAAAAACAATATCAGATGCTTGTACAAGGGCTACCGGTCCACAATTGGCTGTATGCAGTGCTAAAACCATCAAGACTTGCTCTAAGGAAGTAATAAATGACAAGCACACAACGAGAAATATATCACCAGGACATGGAGCACTACATTCACTGTATAATAAGATTATCGATGAAATTATGAGAGAGAGAAATCCATGGTTAAATATTATAATAGAGTATTGAAGAGAAGAAATTAATTTCTTGAGTATAATGTTTCCTATTGCCTCAGAAAGTGCAGCTACAAGGGCCATGAACACACCAAGTAGGTACTCATGATCTACATCGTGATTTGAAAAAATAAAAGGAGGTTTGGTCACTAGCATAATTCCACACATAATTACACTGACAGAAATGCAGCCAATACACTTCAACGGCTCATGTAAGCATACATTGGCCAACAATAGTGTAAAAATTGGAGTAGTGTAAAATAGCACTGATGCATCACCAAGAGGTATTAACTGCACTGAGTAAAAAATCATTGTGAGGGATGTATATCCTGCCATAGACCTGACAATGAAAAGACACATGTATCGTTTTGGAAACAAGCATCCATCTTTTATGGCGAATGGAGCTGAAAATATGGTAATGCTTAAGAATCCAAACCATGAAAGCTGAGCTGGTGGCATATTTAGCCATTTGGCCAAAAGAGAACAAAGCGAGAATAGAAAAGATGACAAAATCGCCCAAAAAAGCCCTATAGATTTTAAACTGGCCACTTCCATAATACAAGTTGTTATCACTTTACAATAAAATTTAAAAAATACTGATTCCTCAGCATTTTTACTATCATGTTGATAAATTCCGTGCCCTTTAATAGAACAAAATGTCCATTCAGATTCAATTAGAAGATTATATCTGTCTTATCATCTATTTTCTTTTTCATATAAATTTCATGCTTTCATATGCAAAAGGTTCATGCTTTACTACTTAAAATCTTTATAGAGCATAGTGTAATTTAATTTAGCAAATTGATAAAACTGTATTTTTAAATAACTAACCAATAGTTTAAAATTAAATAAAATTTGAAATATAAAAATGTTTTATACGCAAAAATTAACAATTAATATTAAATTTTACAAACAAATATAATTTAACACAAAATATTAATGTGAAATTACTGTTGTATTCGTTTAATATTAAGATAAATTAATCTTTTAAAATGAAATACCAATACAATAAACAGATGTTATAGAAATAATTTTTTAAACATATTAAAAAGGACAAGCTTTAAGTGGAACAAAGTACACAAACCACCATTTTTCGTTACTACCAAATAAAAATACATTTTTTCCAAACTTAAATTTACCATACTCACTCTACTTGAGACTTTGTTCGCCGTCCTTGAACTCAAAATTTACACATTCAACTCATTTTTAGATAGGTTGCTGTTTATAACAGACACCAACCTCTTATGTTTTTATTATATAAAAAAAGCATCTGTATTTCAAATACAGCAAAAGTTTAAAAACAACTTGCCTTATTCAAAATGGTGGGATGAGTATGATGCCCCAGTAGAAAATGTTGAATATAATAAACATGACTGGGAACATAAACTGGCTCTTTTTGTCAATCCATGTTGCAATCTGTTGAGGGGTCATTGTGTATTCTATTCCTGCATCTTGCTCTTCTTTTACTTTTTTTAATTCTTCTCTGAGTTTAAAGTGAAAATCAGTTGCTTTCAGTTCCTTAAAAAATAAATAAACTAAAATAAAATTACAAATCCAGAGATTGAATGCATTTTCAAATACTGAAGCATTGTCTACCTCAATCACTTTTAAAGAACTGTTATATTTTTGAGAAAACTGTCTACGGATTTCTGGTGAAGATGGACATGATGATGCCCTCCTCTGCATTCTTGGAGCAGGCATTTTTGGACTTGGGGAAACAGAATACTTAAGAATATACTTTCCAGACCTTTTCTTCAGCCTTATGTTTTCTTTTCTTTAAAAAATTATTAATAATATACATTTGACGCCGATGCAAACTTTTAATATTTTAACTAGGAAAAAATGCAATTTACTCTCTTCTGTCAATAGTATTCACAAAAGCAAACTCTGTTAGAGACATAAAAATGAAAGCAGTACAGCTCAGCTCCCATATGTCATTCACTTTAAATTGTGATACTTTGGGAACTGCTTCACCCGTCCAGCTCAGTAACAAGAAAGTCAGCATAGTGCTTGTCCCTGAAAGTAATAATCTTTTAAATTTGAAATTAACCTGATTCGGCAAAATTACCTAAAAAGACACGGGGAGGAATTGCATCTGGACTAAGCCAAAATGTTACCCAAGATAAAATAACCAGAAGACAACTTGGAACGTAGTAATCCATTAAGTAAAAGCCATATTCACGAGCCAGTTTGAATGTCAAAATTAAAGAACTATAGTTATAAGCTAAAATAATAACAAATAAAACAAATAAATAAAGTGGATACAAAGTAATGATACTTCTTTTTTTTTATATACAGCACAGGATCAGAGTTTGTGTGTTATTTATATTCTGTCTTTCATTTCACGCTACAAAAATCCTGACATTTTACATAAAAATATAGGTTTCTGTTTTTTTATTACAAAAATAGTTTAAATTAATTTTAGCTATTCTTTTTAAAGAAAAATTAACTATACATTTTAAATAGTTGATTTAATTGGTTGGCCATAAAAAAAATTTCTAGCCAAAAATTAATGATACTCACTCTGTTTATCCCTTTCATAAAGATTATACGATGTGTTAGTATACATGTCTAGTAGATAGAACTCAGCAAGGCTAATTTCACTGTTGTGAAGGACAGTAGGTGATTTATCATCCCAGATTAGTCTAACTTCTGATGAATTATATCTCCCTAAAAAAGAATAAGAAACTCATAAAATTCTGATTTTAAATTAATAAATGCAATATTTTTTTACTCACAACTGTCCATGATAAGTTGGCATGATTGTTGATCGAATGGAAATTTTTCTAGCTGTAGCTGACAAGTCAAAGATGTTCTCAATCTAAAAAAAAAACTTTTTAAAATTTTAAAAGTTTAGTTTTATGTTAGGGCCAAGTGGAATGGGAATCTGGCCCATATTTGCTAGCGGTTCTGGGTATGAATACGGACATAGCCATTGGACTTTTATTTGAGATTAGTTGTGAAAAAATAATTGTAAAGTAGTTCTGGCAATGGCACCTAACAGATAGTTGAACATTAAGCCTTTCTGAATGTCGGAAATTACTTTACTTTACTTTTAATTTTACAATTTTGTGTTAAACAATTCTTAAATAAAATAAAAATTTATTCAAATGTTATTTCTTTAAATAATTTTTAATTTAATATGATGGTAAAAATTATTAAATTTATTTAAAAATTATTATTTGAAATCTAGAAAGTTTTTTTTTCCTTTTTTTAATTAAACACCATTTATTTTTATGTAAAATATTTTAATTGCCAATGAAAGTCTGAAGAGGGACTAGGGACATGGCACGAAATGCATTAGCAATTAAAATATTTTGCATAAAAATAAATGGTGGTTTTTTTTTGGGGGGGGGGTCGCGGTAGCCAAGTGGTTAAGGCGTCAGACTCTCGGCTAGTAGATCCTGCGGTCGTGAGTTCAATCCCCACCATCGCCTCTGGACTTTTTCTGACGCCTAAGGGGACCGGTGGCCGCAATTGAAAGAAAATGACACGGCACTCATCAATGGAAGGGGCGGGATCGGATCTCAGCGACCCTGAATTTGGTCCCAACCCCCTTCAAAAATGAGTTTCTTTGAAAGGAAGAACACCGGTACAATGGGGGCTCATGTTCACATTTGTGTTGCGAGCCCTCCCCCAAAATATGAAGCCAGGGATAAAATACAATAAGCTGTACAACTCAGCTGCAGTGCTCAGGAGGGAACTCCTCCAGTCCCTGGTATCCACAAAAAAAAAAAAAATGGTGTGTTTAGTTAAAAAAATAAAAATAATAAAAACTTTCTAGATTTAAAAATTTATTATTGTTAGATTTACTCTTCACAGTGTTATATTAAAGCATCAAACTATGAAGATATCTTAAATTTTCCATTTAAATATTCAAACATCACATGTACAATTTATGGACAATATTTATTGAAATTTGGAAATTTTTCTTATCTAATAGTTTAGCGCTCCTGGGCCAGCAATTTAATTATTTTAATAGATGCTTCAATATAAGCATAAGTTAAAGTTAAAATTTGTAAATATAAAAGTAAAATATGTGAACAGTCATCTATCAGTTATAGTACCAGATAGCTGTTGAAAATTTACCTTGTGGTGAAAACAACAAATCCTGAAGGAGATATACTAATCAAATCGTCTTTCCTCAGGAATCCCATGACGGCTGAGTCTTTTTCATTAGTTAAATAAATATGTGGAACCCAGATTGTGTCAAGGAGGAATTTTTCACCCATGAGATTCATTATTCCCGTTTCCAGGTTGCTATAGTTGAGCCTGGTGTCAAGCCAACTCATCTCTAATAGCATCTGTATCTCTATATCCTTAAGAAAAATTTTAAAAACGCCAAGTCAAGTTCATCACGATTAAAATAGTTTAGAATACCAATTCTCTCTTTGAAGATGCTTTTAAGTGATAAACGTATATCTTGATTTTGACATCAAACAGTTTGGATGATGACGATGATGGTGGCCTTTCATTTTTATTGTATCTACAGTCGTTGGTGAGGTATGAAAAGAGTTCAGATTCGGTTGCATTTTTTTTTAGACTGCTGCATGTCAAGCTGAAATTTATTATTACATTATTAAGCTTTCTGATCACAAATTATCCTTTAAAAAAGAGTAAATATATGAAAATTTCATAGCCTCATGACGACTTCAATTAGAGAAAAAAAAACCTGTGTATGTTAATAACATTTTTATTTTTTATTGTTTACAAAATGTAATAAAAGTATATTTTATATATAACTATATTATATAAATGAAAAGCAGAATCTAAATAAAAATTCTTAAGCCTACAGTTGTCATGATTTACAAAGTATATTATTTATTCATGTGCTATCAAAATAAAAGACTAGTTTAGTTTCAAACAAAATTAAAACTATTTAGTCTATACTAAGTTAATAACATCACTATTAATAGTTCAAATTTATTTCAAATATATTATCACCAAATACCAAAAGAACTGGAAGATTGCTGCAAAAAAAGATTCAAATCTAATTATAATGATTTAATTTTTTTGTATTCAATTATATGAAAACTTTAAGCATTAATCGTGTTAACTTGAACACCAATTGCAAAAAATTAATTAATCACCTTGTAGGTCCAAAAAATTATATTTTAATTAAAAAGTAGAAATTTTCTTGTACATAGAAGAAATGTTAATTTTTATCTTGATTCCATCTATGTAGGTGTAAGATAAAGGAAGAGAAAATAAAATGTATAAAATATCTTTAAAGTGAAACGTAGGTGAAATTTCAGCATAAGTGCTTAAGTTATAATAAACGTTCCTACAAATAGCTTTTACAAAAATTAATAAACTGGATACATCAACTACACACATTTTTTTTTTTAATTGTACCAATAATTTTCCCCTTGTTGTACGTTTTCTAGTTATGCAATATCAAGGTTGTGCTGTTTTTAACTTTTAGCTGTAATCATTAAATTGGGTTTTCCAGTCATATTTGTTTTATTTGTTAATAATTTATTCGGCAAAGGCAAAAATTGGTTTTTACTAATATTGACAATTTCTAACAATAAAAAGGGAGGTGACCACATTGAGAACACCCCAGATACCATTTGTTCAACATAAGCTTACCAGTTTGTTGTCTGAAATATAATGGATGTCAACAGTATGTAAACAGAAAGCATTACTTTTTTTTTGGCAAATAATGTCACACTATCGAAAAATCCTATTATCCTATTAAAATAACAACAACAAAGTAAAGACAGGTGTGAGCTTGAAGAGATTCTTTATCTGTCGACACTTGTTGGAATACTAAATTGGGTTATCATTTGCAGTAATCCTTCCCTTTTAAAACTCCGACTGGTAATTACACTGTTTATTCACAGTCACTTTTTGCTTTCATTAAACCCGTGTTTTTATAAATTTCTACATGTGATTCACTCTCACACACAAATAAATAAAATAAATACAAAATTAATAAATAAAAATCAATTTTATTTACTCCAGTCTGGTTTTATATCAATACAAACATTTTTTTGGAAATTTATGTGTAGTATATTAGTACACTAAAACAAAAGTAATCATTCATTTTAATAATAGAAAACAGCTAAGTTTAATGTGATATCAATATTTGTGCATAAAACCAACAATAAACTTTTTTGTTAAATAGAATAAATTTTTATTTGTACATGTGCAATACAACATACACAATAATTTTAGAATGTAGGAAATGTGACGTTTCACTGTGGCTTCCTACTATTTACAACTAATTATTTTTATATACAAAGAGGTATAAGAAATTCCATAATAATTTGTGTGAAAAATTTATGTTAAAAAAACATGCAGAGGGATGAAGTCTATATATAGAATTAAATAAATGCATATAAAATATGTAGATGAGAATTAAATACATAAATAAATATATAAATGTTCTTACAACTATGAATTTGATCACTTTGGCAAGTTTATAAACCAGCTACATTGTTTTGATCCTCTTATGTTTCTAATTTGCATTTGTTGGATATGCACCAATGGATCTGCAAATAGGATTTGATGAGACACTCATACACATAAAGAATTTGCTCACCTCATCATATATTTCCTCCTCTACCCAGTTCGTTCATATAGGTCTGTCAATTTGTAATATCTGAGAGAGACAGTGGCCAGCCGCAGAAATTTATTTTTGATTACCTGTAATCTATTGAGAATTGTTTTACAGGTAAAATTCTATGCTGGGCAAGCATATAGCAACATTGGTTTAAAAAACACTTTATAAATTAGTAGTTTTTTGTATTGGCTCATGCCAGACTCCTTTCTGAGCAATGGGAAGTGTTCATATAGCCGCTTTCCCATTGCCTACCAGATTACTTGTGTGAGCACCAAAATTCAATTTGGTATCAAGTGATCCTTAGGTACCTCACAGTTTTTAACCACTTAAAGGACTTCCCCTCAATAGTATACTGTGGGAGAGCATGGGCCTACACTTAGTGAGTAGCATACTAGTTTTCGAAGAGTTAATTTTCAGCTTCCACCTATTGCAGAACTGTATTAATATTTTTGTATGTAAAACTATGTAATACCTATATAATAACTATGTAATAAAATTTATATAGTAAATATTACCATGTTAAAAGTTCATTTTTATTTTTGATTCAATATATCCATTTTTTTGCCTTTGTTATTACCAATTAGCCATAACTCTATTGTTGGGATTAGCTGGGGCTCCCAACAATAATATTTCACCAACATTTGTTAATTTTTGCTTTTAATTTTACTTGTAAGTTTCTTCTTTCTTTCTTTTTTTTTTTCTTTTCTTCTTTTTTTTATTTCTTCTTCTTTATTTTCTTACTTATTTATTTAATAATTAATTCTTAGTTAATATTATACATATGCTTGAAAATTGTGTATAATATTTAAAGTAGTTAATATATTTTTTCATGATACAATAATAATAATAATCTTTATTCATGGCTTTAGCCATTTTACCAACAGAACGAGTTTGGGATTTTGACTTTCAGTAACAACAATTCCTCACGTTTTAAGTATATTATATATTTAAGTATATTATTTTATAAGTGTTAATTTTAAAAAGAAAGCTATGAACATTTTTAACCATAATAAAAGTTTGTAAAGGTTTTAATAAAATATATTCATTATGATGCATAAATCAATAAGCTATTAGGTGTATGAATGATATTCCTATTATTCTGATTCAAGAGTGAGTCAGTCTTCCAGGAAATTTGATATCGCTTGTAAAAAAAACTTAAATATGCCAATCTGCAATCTAAACACAATCTAGATATCTAAAGAAATTAACAGCCTCAAAAAAGTACAAAAACAAACTAATAAAGAGCAGGCAATTAGTGAATGAATCTTAACAAAATTTATAGTAAAATAAAGAGCCTCCCCCTCATAAATAACATAATAGAACAGTTAAAAGGGATCGATGCAGTTAGGAAGGTCATGTTGGCATGGGTTCCTGGTCACAAGAAGCGGACAGGGCAGCCAAAGAAGACCCTATGAAGTTTTCCCACTTTTATGCCCAGCAGATTTAAAACTATTAATTGCAAATAAGTAAAAGGAGAATGTAAAAACTGCCAGGTTTGTAAAAATAGAAATAACACTACCAAAGTATGTCAGGTTAAAAAAGACTGTCCCTGGTTCATGGAGAATAGTTCGTCAAAAAGGCCATACTGACAAGACTACACATAGGTCATAAAAGAATAACGTACAGGCACATTATGGCTGGAGTGACTATGTAAATGCCCGTTATGCATGTTATCTAGACATTATTTTGGCATATGACGTAGGACCTGTGCATAGTCTTGGGTCTCAGCAGCAGGCACAGATTGCTGTTCCGGTACCTCAGGGCTATAGGGATTTTTGTTATATTATGCATGTGTGCCCTTCCCTAAATCCTTAAAACTAACCTTCCTTTTCATAATTTTCATTGAATACTCCAGGACATTCATCACGGGAAGACGTAAAATTCCCTAAATGATCTCTCCAATTTTTTTTTTTTTAACTTACATGTATTTCAAAATTTTATATTTGTACATTTATAATTTAATTTCATTACAAAGGGTGTAGCAGAAAAACAGGTTGCACAAAATTTATATTTTTAATAAATTTATAGTGGTAGTTGTTGTCTAGAAGGGAAAAGGACATACCATGATCACCCACCTGATGGGAGTGAGACCATGTAGGTGTCCATTGTGTGGAGAGCTTATCAGGGTAGAGCATATAATAACAGTCTGCAAAGAACTAAGTCAGTAGACATCCCAAATGACCTATGCACGTCTTTGGGGCATCAGCAGGCATAGATGGTCATTGGAATATCTCAGGGCCATAAATATTTTTTACTGTATTATTTAATTGTATATCTTTGTACCTTCATGTTAACAATTAATTAATTGAGTTATATATTGGAATGAATGTATTTATTATAGTATTATTGTATAGGAGGGCTTATTGGAATATTGAGTACTCTGCAGCAGTGCGAATGATTTGTGCTGTGTATATGTAATTTATTAGTATGAATGGTAGAGACTATCCACAATTACCCTGAGGAATATCAAGTACTCTGGGGCAGTGTGAATGTAATTTATTAGCGAGAATGGAAGGGCATATCCCAAATTACCTCAAGGAATATCAAGTACTCTGGAATAGTGTTAATGTATTCTGGTGTGTGAATGTAAAGGCATATCCCCAATTACTTGAGGAATATCAAGTACTCTGGGGTAGTGTGAATGTAATTTATTAGCAAGAATGGAAGGGCATATCCCAAATTACCTCAAGGAATATGATACTCTGATGAGTGAATGATGATACTCTGGAGTAGCGTTAATGTAGTCTGGTATGTGAATGGAAGGGCATATCCCCAATTACCCTGAGGAATATCAAATACTCTTGGGTAGTATGAATGCTAACCAGACTGTCATGTTTCTATCTTGTTTCTGCGTGTGTTTGTTATTTTCATTATTTTATCCACAATTGACTAGGCCCTGGGGTATAGAGAGACTAGCAATAGGATAAAGAAAAGATAAGAGTCATTATATCATAAACATCATAAATTGGCTGGGCACGTAGGAGTAAAAGAAATTGGTAGGATTAAAACACAAGAAAAATAAGAAAAGAAATGCACAGCTAAGGAAGCGAGGGCTGGTGAAGGTCAATGTAGTTTGCCGGCGCTAAAAATAAAAAATAAGTAAATAAATTGATATCAAACAATTTAATTTAATTGAAACATACCATATACAAAATTTATATGTCACTAAACCTACTTTTAGTTAATATAAGTATTGTTTTAAGATATTTCAAGTATTATGTTTAAACAGATACTGTTGAAACCTTTCAAATCACAAATGTAATATTTAAATAAATTATAACAATTTACAAATTAATCTTTATTTAATTTTGTACTATTTTTGGCTTAATGAATAAATAATCATTACTGTAATAATAGAAAAATAAAATTGGAATGTTTGTACCAGAATATATTTTTACACTTCCATAGAATTATTACAACAATTTTTACAATATAAACTATACAATAAATAGAATATATATTTTTAATCACTGGAAGAGAAAAAGTGTCAATTGAGCAGAAATTTAACAAATAACTTTATCGCAAGAGTTGTCGGCTACTCAGTTTTGTTCATATGCAATACAAATCAAAGAGAGTGCAATGTTTGTGAAGGATAATTTCAAGATACATGAAATTAGTCTAACTTCACTGAATAAACTATGCATCCACGAACAGGTCAAGATGAGAGACTTTCTTCGAAATCATAAAGGTCATATTCTTCCGAGTCGTAAGGAGCGTCTGTTGTCCATTCAGAATCATACTCCTTAAAATAAAAAATAAAAATAGATAAACATTATTTTCAAAGCTGTTTAATTTAAAACATGGAATTTTTAAGGTTAATCCATCTTATTTAAATTTGTTGGTTAATGTCAGAAAACATTTATAATTTATTAACATCCAACATTTTATTTTAATTAATTATTCTTATTATGTAAGGTCTTGGTTGAGATGAAAAAGCTAGGGTCACGAGCAGGATTCAAACCCATGACTTTCAGCTCAATACACCGCAGCGCTTATTCAACAAGTGATTACTTGAGCTAATGTGACTTCGATCCCCTCGGACACTAACTTCCCATCTCAACGTAGAAGTGTTCGAATTTTCTCTTTTTTTTTTTTTTAACTTTTTAAATTTTATTTTAAAATATATGACCATCTTTGCATTTGTCAATTTCCGAAATATCCAAATAAATGAAAATAACGTATTTACTTTTTTTATTAAATAAATAAATAAAAAACACAATAAATGTTTTTTGACATTAACCAACAAATATAAACATTACATACATCAACTTGGAAATTCAAGATGATGTACAGAAACGTTAAGAAAAATTAAAAAAAAAAAAAAAAAAACTACCTCATCATCCTCAATTTCCTCTTCATCGGAAAGTGGGAATGCTTCGTCTTCAAGCCTGAGCCTGGGCATGTAACGAGTGGCACGGTCGATGTTTATTTCCATCTGGATCCGGACACCCATGGCAAGAAAGCCAGACATGATAAGAAGTGGAAGTCGTGTTCGACAGTCCCAGGCGAGCCGGAGGAGAAACATGAGGCCAGGCTTAACCTTCGTTAGTTTTCCCCCTCCTCCACCGAGACATTCTAGCATGCTTCCGATCATCAATCTCTTGAACTCTCTCATTCAAAAGAAAGCTAAATTAAAAATTAATTAATTAATTTAATAAAATTACAAAAAAAATCAATCACTTTTAAAAATCTAAAAAATATTGTATTTGTAACTAGTGTGCTTATTCTCATTGGCCATAGTTCACATTTAACAGCACAAACTATGACAAAACAAATACATATAAATCAAAGATATCAGAAACAATGAGCAAAGAGATAAATTGGAAATTATTTTAAAAACAAGAAAATCTTATTTTAGCTTGTTAAAACTGCAGCTACTGAAAATGCCACTGCTAATAAAGGCAATATAATTCTCTAAAATGTAAAAAAAACATGTCAATTTCAATCAACCACTAAAAATAATGGAATGCCAAAATGAGACTCAGACAAAATTCGTGAGAACAACCAGGATGATAGGAGATGATCAAGCTACAGGGTAATCACCTCACAGTCTTCAACGCAACATTTCACTATTTAATGAATAAATGTTACAAATTTATAGTAACGTTGAATTACAGGCTTAAAAATTTCACTACTTCATGTCTTGAGCAGAATCTGTATGGAACTGGAGTGTGTTTAGATGTTTGTCAGGTCTTCGACAAAGTATAGCATGAGGGGTTATTATACAAATTAACATTATTTTTATCCAGGCCTATTATCTGATTATACAATCACACCTTAAGGAGAGATTTTTCGCAGTAAACCAGGGATCGGAGACGAAATGAAAGAAGTGCTTGAAGGTTTGCCACAAGGGCCAATACTTGCTCCGCTCTTGTATACAATTTTTACTTCTGACATGCCCATAAATGAAAATACACTTACTGCCACATACGCAGACAACAGCGCCATATTAACAAGTCATCTCTGTTCTAGAAAAGCTTCAATTATGTAATGAAACCACATACCAACAATTGAAAAATGGAACAATCTTTGGAAAATTAAGTTTAAAGACTTGTCTTAACTTATACACTGAACCTGTTCCTCAGTCCAACAAGTTAACTATTTAGGACTTACATTTGATTGAAGACTAACTTGGAATCCACATACATAATTAATAAAAAGACAAAATGGATATTTAACAAATGATTTAAAATGTTTTTTTGCCATTTTTAAAATGTAGTGTTATCAGAATTCAATTCTCAGCGTGTTGTGAAGTGGCCATGTGTAACTTTGGCAAAGTGATTACTTCTTTAATTATTATATTAATCCGTATACATTTAGCAGTCGTAACAAACCATATTAATTATTTCGATTAATTATATTTTTTATCTAAGGTCTTGTTTGAGATGAAAAATGGCAAAAAGGTGGAAAATTCTAAAGGTCAAAGCTCAAGATGAGGAGGAGTTGGTGTCCGAGTGGATTGAAGTATTTAGCCGAAGGTCGTGGGTTCGAATCTCGCTCGTGACACTAGCTTTTTCATCACAACCGAGACCTTAGATGAAAAAAAAAAACAACAAATTGAAATAATATGGTCAATTACAGTCGGTAAACATGTATGGAATGACATGAATGTACGTTTTGACCTGCTTTTATGTCCAAGCTTGAAGCTCACAGAACACGTCTGATGCCTGGGACAAGTTCAGAAGGAAATTTAAAAAAAACTTACAGAAAAATACTAAAGATTATACTTTTGAAATTCTTCAGTGCTAGTACTGATAGTAGTGTTATAAAAAGCACTACTAATTCATAGTTAAAACTCAATAAGGAACTTACTCTTAGCTTCTACAGCTTTTTACTGTAAAAATGATAATTTGATTATTTTTTTTACTTAAATTAAAAATAACTTGGTCAAGATTAGTCGTGTTGCAATAAAGTTGATTTTTGTCTCAATAAAAAAAAGTAAAAAAATGCCTGTAAACCACATCTGACAATGTTAAATCATTCATAAACCTTCACTCACCTTTTATGTCAAAGGGGCAATCGTTTAGTGTTCCAAATATTGAATAATAAGTCTAATAAAAGAAACGTGCTGCAAACTACATTCCAAAATTAAAAATGAATTTTTTATTCGTTATATTTTTAGAATAAAGAGTTCAAAGAAAACAACTGGTGAAAAAAAAATCCACACCATTTACTTGATATGAGGGGCTTATTAAACAATTATAAGTAATTTTTTTATAAGAAAATTATCCTGAATTTAGGAGAAGTTCCGAGTGTTGAATAAAGGGAAAAGTTATACAATTATAATGCTACTCACATGTATTTTCGAATGATGTAGGCAAAAATCAAGGCTCACCGGTCATTATGGTACTCATAACTCATAAGTATCTGTGATGTTAAAACTTGTCTTATAACGTGTTATGTAGTTATAAGCAAAGCCCGTATGAATCAACGTTAACCTTAACAATGTTGCAACCTAAACTACATGGCGCAACAGACCATGGTCCTACCATAGCGCTATGCTATGAGGTGGGTTTGGGGTTAATACTCATCAAAAAATTTTATCCGTTTAAATTTACATAACTGTAAGAAGTTATATCGTGATTTTTGTCCATAATATAACTTATCTCACATTTAATTTTTGAAGTATAAAACGTTATTTTTAGAATGAAACAGATTTTTATATCACTTAGATAAATATTTGCCTTAAATTGACAAACACTTCTATTCAGGCGTTAGAAATATTATTAAGCTGTTATTTTGAAATTTTTGAACTTTTTAAATTAAGGAATTTCTGTGTTGCGTGTGACATTAAAAACAAAAATCCAATTTGCTGGTTGTATTAGATTGCCTTAAACCCCAATCTCTTATTTAAAATTGAAAATAAGCTCCGCCCATCATTCTTATTCACTATATTCAATTTTAATTCATCCTGTAGTTTAAATATTATAAAACGAAAAGTTTGTGGCATGGGGAATCGAAGACAAGTTAACTCAGGCGGTTAGAGCAGTGGCGTATTGACGAACGACATGGGTTCAAATCCCGCCTGATACAAATTTTTCATTTAGAAAAGCTTGCATCATAGATACAAATCTATGAATAATTCATTTATTGTTGCTGGCGTGCGTCTGTGGAATTCCCTTCCACGTCATATTAGGTCGGCCCACCCCTTCGGGCTTTCAGGGGTGAAGCTTTCAACCCTTCTACAAACAATCCTTGATTTGATCAAACTAATATGATCTTGTTGCTATTCTTTTTTACTTGTCCCTTTTATACTTTTCCTTTATACTTATCTCCTTCATTCACGGTTAGTCAATGATTATTCCGAGATCGTGGATGCAGTCTGATGTGTGTGTGTGCACCAGACCGCAGCTCACAATCTCCGAATAATTATGTCAATAATAGTACTATTACATTTTATGGAATTAATCCAAAATATAACGATATAAAAGAAAAGCAAGAACAATTACTTAAGTATTAAACAATATGTAAAGTAAGAAAATAGCTTAAAAGAATGTTTCATATAAATGTACTAAAAAAAGATCACATTTATCAGTTTCCATTAGATTTCGTGGTCCGGTTGACCAAATAACATCTTTCAATTAATTAATCTTTATGCAAGGTATAGCTTGAGATAAAAAAGTCAGTGTCACAAGTGGGATTCGAACCCACAACCTTCAACAAAAAGCAGGGAAAATTCGAAAGGTTGGGTTGAGATGGGAAGTTAGTGTCCGAGTGGATGGAAGTCACGATAACTCAAGTGGTAGAGCAGCGGCGTAGTTAGCCGAAGATGGTGGGTTCAAATCCCGCTCGTGACACGAATTTTTTATCTCAAACAATACCTTACATAATGATTTATCATTGTTATTTTAGATTTTTTAATTGCCATTGTATAATTTATTTTATGGAATTCATCCAATTTTCAAAAAAATGTTTAAATATAGAAATACACAATATAAAAAAATACAACAATATAAAAGAAAAATAATAAAAAATTACTGAATTACTAAACAATATGTAAAATAAGAAAATAGCTTAAAAGAATATTTCATGTAAATATACCTAACAAAAGATCACATTTATCATTATTTTAAATTACCATTGTATAATATATTTTATGGGATTAATCCAATATACAAAAATGTTTAAATATAGAAATATACAATATAAAAAAATATAACAATATAAAAGCAAACATAAGAAAAAAATTACTTAAATACTAAACAATAGGTAAAGTAGGACAATAGTTTGAAAGGTTTCATATAAATATACCTAAAAAAGATCACCTTTATCATTAGATTACATTTTTAAATTGTCATTGTGTAATATATTTTATGGAATTAATACAATTTACAAAAAATGTTTACATACATTACAAAAAAATATTACAATATAAAAGAAAAAAATTACTTAAGTATTAAACAATATGTAAAGTAAGCAGATAGCTTAAAAGAACATTTCATATAAATATACATAAAAAAAAGATCACACTTATCATTGTTATTTTAAATTTTTAAATTGTCATTGCATAATATATTTTTCTTATTATATTTTTATTTATTAAATGTGACTCGAGATAAATCGAAGCCCCTCTAATTAATTATTATCTCACTTTGCGTTCTACCTAAAAGCTAAAAATGTCTCCTATAATTGAAAGCTGAAAGAAATTATTAATAAGGTTTCTAAAGAATTAAACTTATAATATAATAAAAAATTTATTTAAAATTTCATATAAAATTTTTACTTTAATTGAATTATTTGTACATCAATAAAATGTCATAATAAATGTTTGACTCCCCTGTCTCTTAATAGTACAGGGTTTGACACTTCTCTTGAAACAATATCTTTTAATATGCCAGACAAATTTAGTTCATCATTTACAGAAGTGCCTAATTTGAAACTTTTTCTTTTTTGCTTTGGTTTAGCTCTAACTACATATTTGTCAATTTTTTTCTGATTTTGTTGAACCTCTAATACTTTGGTTTTTGTATTTTTAGTTTTCTTCTTTTCAGTATTTGACTTTACTGCTTTTTTCTTTTTACTATCTAATAAAAAAATAAAACAAAATGAAAAATCATAAAACAAAAAATAAAATAAAGTTTGGTTTAAAAATTAATACCTTTATACGATTCAACTAGTGAAGAATATTCTTGATTTACATTCGTTTCAAGTTCCCAAGTTGACAACGGCTTTATGTCATGCCCTTTCAATGACCATTCAACTTTAAAACTTGAACCGGCTTCATTTTTTTTTCGCCATCCTTGAATGCTTTTCACAAAAATAAGAGTCTCCATGTGTGGATGCAGTAGATGCCAGCGTCCCATCAACGGAATGAATTTGTCTAAAGCGTACTCCTCATCCCAAGCCAATTTTGACATCGCGAACTCCTGAAGAACGTTTTTTTTAAATATATATATATATATATATTTTTTTTTTTATGAGTCATACAAATGTTGCCAATTATAGATCTTACAAGAAACTTGTGCAAATCAGGCTTCGACCAGTTCCATGTGAAATCAACCTTCTCTGGTGGGGTTGTGAACTCTGCAATTACATCCAGATGAGGAAAACCTGGATCCTTAAGGGCTTTTTCTCTTATAATCAACTCAAACTGTAAATCACTTACTTTTTTGGTTTTATAATATATCATTCATGCCACTTTTAAAATAAATTATAATTTTGGTTTAAAGAAATATTTCATAAACAACAATCCTTTGTGAATTATGTAAGGGTTATGGAATTAAAAAAAAAAAAAAACTCAATTCTTCCATTTTTTTTTTAACTTTGCTAAGCATCAACCGTTCCAAAACTCACAAAGTTGTCATAAATTATTTAATTGATAATTACCTAGAGATATATTTATCATTTTTTAATTCATCAAAACACGTTATATTCCTCCATTGGATGAACCTGAAAAATAAATTTTACCTATCACTGATATGATTGAAACTCTTAATATGATAACTATATGATGATATACTTTTGGTAAACTTGATTATCTTCAATGCTTTTCAGAAATTTCAAGGCGGACTGCTTCCCAAGTTTACTAACACCATTGTTGTAATCAGATCCACATAAAATCGAATATCTAAAAAATAAAAAGGACATATTGCAATAACTATATGTGATTTGGTGTAGATTTAAATAACTATATTCTAATCAACAGTTCAACTTAATTATTTCCTATACTGTCTACATATCATTGTTATTTAGTATAAATATTTTAACTTTGTTTGTACGGGGAGAACCTATCTAAAGGGTTTAAGTGTTTTTCTATTGAACAAATCCCATTTTGAAGTACTTTGGATTCCTCTGATGAGTGATACACGGCAAACATCAAGAAAAAATAATATTTACAAAAATAAACATAGAATGAATAAATAAAATTAAAGAACTAATAATAAGTACTGAAAACGATTTTTTTTTTTTTTTTACTGCAGCAGTCATTGCGTTCTGCACAGATGCTTTAGCTAAGAAACAAAAGCCAGCCTCTTTTTTGGATGGGTCTGTTCAAATTATTAATTAGATCAAGTTGCGGCCATTGAAGTCAAGACTTTTCACGATACTACATGAGGATATGTTTTGACGTCAACATTCCCTGCTCCTCCATAAAGCAATGATGTGGCATCTTTTGATTACAGGAATTCTGATGTCTTATCTTGTTGATTTATACTGTGTAGGTAACACCTACATCACACAGACTGCATCTCATGATCTTTAAGTAATGTATACTGTCGTATTTATTAGATATTTACATTACAATTAAAAAGATAACTCTTTCTTTTCAAGGGAAGAGTATCACAACTTTCGATGCTAATGGCAAACATAGCACCGTCAATATGTGAACACCCTAAAAAAAAGAAGAAAAACTAGAAAAAAAAGCACCTACGTATATCTCTCCATCACCTAATTAGGCATGAATTGGTTAATTTTTAAAACTTTTATTTACTGCATACTATAAGTATATAATTTTAAATACTTGAATGAGTGAGATTTTGTTGTAAGGGGTCCAATGACTAAAAATTTGGGAAGCCCTGCTCTAACCGTTGAGGCCACCAATAGTTCCAATGATTATTTCAAGGATTAATTATTAATTAAATTACCCTATTAATTTGGTCCTGGAAAGTGACAGTTTCTGTTCAATTGTATCCATTCTGTAACAGTCACATGTGTAACTCGGCCCCATTTGAAAGTGCCGGTATACTTCCCTGGCGCCGTAGAGAAAAGCGTCTGAGTCTTGAGTAATGACTCCACTAACAATCTGAAAACGAACTTTTTGGTAACAGTCAGCAATAAAGACAGGCCGTACTGCATACTCCTTGCTCATTCAGGTGAGCGCAGAACGCCTCGGCTTCACCTGGGCCTCTGACGCAAGCAATGCCCATATGTGACAAGAGATCGACACACTGCTTCTGAAGCCCTTTCAGCCTCGCCCTCGTGAAAGAGCCTGCCTTTTGCGAACCCTCCTCGCCTTTTCCCATTCTTTTCTGCATCGTGGCTGCCTTCAACTCCGGTGCGTCTCCTTCTAAGACGAACACAGGTTTCACTCCTAGCAAAAGTAGATAGCTCGTCCGGAAAAACAAATTTCTTTAAGAAAATAATTAGAAAATTCTGTTTTGAATAATTGGTGAAATAAATGAATTACCTGAGATACATATTGATGTGTGGTGATGTCCTTGTTACATTTTGAGAATCGCATATCCAAGCGCTAAGATCAATTGCAATAGACTGGTTTTCCAGTTCCCACAATGACTTTTTTTCACAGACAGGAGACAAAATTGACCACAGATCTTTAACACCCATTCTTTAAAACAAAATATCAGAACTGATATACCAATAGAACTTTCATTTAAAAATACTGAGTGAAACAGAAAAATTGGTTAAGGCTGATTAACTGGACTGGTTTCACTATTTGTCAACTATCAAATGTATGCTTCTGGGGTCTGACTCTGGTTTGGAACTCTGGACTTGGCAGTTGGAAGGAGATAATTCAAATTATATCGATAGATTGATTAATAAAATTTTCAGGATTTTTATTATATGTGAATCTTTACAGACGGTTTTAAGCATAAAGAATTTTAAAAAAATTAATAAATAACCAAAATATATAATTCTATGGCAAATTTAGTAAAGTGCTTTTGTCGATATATAGTAACTATATGTATAGTTGATAGTTACCGTTACATATCGAGTACTACATGATTCTACATGCCCGCCAGGTAGGTTATGCTATGTCGGATGCCGACGCCTTTTAAGTTTAAAGCATAAGGCCATAAGCAAAAGGTATCATAATTTAGAAGCATGGAGCGCAACCTAAAGACCGTAATGTTCAAGGAAGTTTTCATAAGAAGAGAGCCCGATGACTGGAATGAAATTACACTCAATACAGGTGGGCGTTTCTTTTTTCCTATGTACCTTGTAAAATTCTGTCAGACATAAACAAACATTTTTTAATTTGATTTAATAATCAAAATATCTCCTGTCTTAACCCTGGAATGGTCGATGTGTGATACAAACACAAACCGTACAATAATAATAATAATAATAATTGACCGTGTATTTAACCGGTAGTAATTAACCGTAATAAACTGTGTATTTGTTTATTTTCCACAATACACTAGGCATAAAGATTAATAATTTTAGCTGATTGTGTCAGTTTGTTAAGACTACAAGAGCCTTGTGCGGTCAAAAATATACTTTGGTTGTGACCTCAGAGAACCCTTACGCCCGGTTCATACGGAGGCGATCGGTAATGTAACGTAGGGACAGATACGGTCAGACGGCAAGACTGGTAGACGACAGGTATGAGATAAGGATTTTTAGTTGCTTGGTACGTTTTCTGTATGAAAGTGACTGACTGGACATTGTGCGGCATGGTGTCTTTCACACAGTTCATAGTCATACTGTTTCGAGCAGATCGCTCTGTCCGACTTTCGTTTTCATACGACTTTTTTGAAACTTGTAAAAAATAGATAGAAGTGACATTTTTAATAACGACAAACGAATTTCATTAGTTCAAACATATCCCAAGCTTTGGAACAACAGTGACTATGATTATGCAGATAAAGTTGAAAAAAGAAAATGTGTGGTGAAATGTGGGTGAACCCATATAACTCTACTTCTACTTTTTTTGTATAATTAAATGCCAAAGAACCTCACCTTCTATTCTTAAATTATAAAAATATGACTGAATCAAACATCTAGGTCTTTAAACCACTTGAGAGAGAATTGAGAAGAGATGGAGGGAAAGTGAGTCAATCTAGTCACCTGGAGAGTCGCTGGATACCTTTTGTTTCTTGTACCGGTATTGCATATGCATCTCTCATACCATTTGCCTCTGTGTGAACCAAACAAACAAAAAACAAGCTCAGAGAAATTAAGAGAGATGTCAAACAATGTGGTACGACAGTACAGTGATCACGGAAAGAGGAAATTGTATTGGCCAGGCTTAGGATAGGTCACACAAGATTGATACAAGGTCACCTCATGACCAGAGAGCCTCCCCCACAATGCACAACTTGTGGTCAGGTGATCTCCATCAAGCATTTTTTTTAGGTGTATTGTGTAGAGTTACCATAGAGAGTTGCTAACAGTTAATTCAGGTGAATTTCACTCTCCTATGCAAAGGGCTCTGAGAGTAACTCTCAAGAGCTCCGACTGAGAGTTCCTTTCGCTTGTAAATGCACCGTCAAGGTCATATAGATAACTTTAGATATGTGTGGTCTTTTAATTTTAGCTTAATTGGTTCTGAATAGTATTTAATTTTTATTTGTATGGCAGAATGTTTTTGGTATCTAATTGAATGTTGGTTATGGGTAGTGTAAAGATTTTAAAGGTGTTAGGTCTGGGGTGGATAATATATATTCTTTTAAATAAATTTGTTGACATTTGGTTTATCTTATTTTAATTTCCCTAGGATATTTTTGGGTTTCGTTCTTTTTATTTCACTTTTACTTCCTTAGGATATTTTTGGGTCTCTTTCTTTTTATTTCACTCTAATTTTCTTAGGATATTTTTTGGTTTCTTTCTTTTTATTTCACTTTAATTTCCCTAGGATATTTTTGGATTTATCTTTCTTTTCAGTTCACTTAATTTCCTTAGGATATTTTTGGATTTATCTTTCTTTTTATTTCACTTTAATTTCCCTAGGATATCTTTGGATTTATCTTTCTTTTTAATTCACTTTAATTTCCCTGGACATTTTTGGGTTTCTTTCGTTTTATTTCACTTTAATTTCCTTAAGATATTTTTGGATTTATCTTTCTTTTTGTTTCACTTTAATTTCCCTAGGATATTTTTGGATTTATCTTTCTTTTCAGTTCACTTTAATTTCCTTAGGATATTTTTGGATTTATCTTTCTTTTTAGTTATTCAGAAATCGTGAGATGCGGTCTGGTGTGATGTAGGTTTCAGAAAAACATTTTCTTTATCGTGCCAACGTTTCGATTTTTATTGAGATCATAAACACGACACGCAAGAATGGCACAATTACGCAGGAGACTTTGAGCCCTGAAGATGATCTCAATAAAGATCGAAATGTTGGCACGATAAAGAAAATGTTTTTCTAAAACCTACATCACACCAGACCGCATCTCACGATTTCTGAATAATTATCGATTAACGGTCACTAATCACCACACATTTCTTTTTAGTTCACTTTAATTTCTCTAGGATATTTTTAAGTTTCTTTTCAATTTGGGGACAGTCCTTTCTGGCCATATCGGTCCAGATCTCACCAGCGCAAATAAGTTTTATTCAAACTCATGAATTTCCAATCTAGTTTAATTTGATTTTCATTAAAATAACTATATTGTAGTTTAATATAACAATAAAAATACATTTAGTTTGACATAAGCAACAAAATATGTCCAGTTGTTTTTTTTCTTCTTTTCTTTGAGTATAAAACAATATTTTTATTCTAACAGGTTATGAAAGTGTTGTATAGAACTTGCTCACTTCATTTTGAGTTTAGAATCAAAATATCTGGTGGCTTATTCCCTGGGAGTGGTCGCTATGTGATATTTTTTCTTGCACAAATTTTGTTTTAAAACTTTTCCTAGTGTTCAGTACCTGTGTTTCTTCCCTAGATTCTTTTTAGACTGTACTCCTCTTTACCCAGCACAGGAAATTTAGTGACCATTTTTGTCTTAGCTTCATTATAAAAAGTATTATTCCGTTTTTATGAAATATTCTCTAATCCCATTACCACTGAGTCACTAGAGTACAACTCTGAAATTTAATTTTTTGTCCCATTGGGAAATGAATGGCATCCACATAGTTTTTTCTAACATTCAATTAACATATAAATTGAGACTTTTAAGGTATCCTTCTCATTGATCAACAGTTCAATGATCATTAATTTGTTTGATAATTATTTTCATATATATATTTCTTAGCATACTATAAAACACAATTTTAAAAAAGTTGTTTTGTAAATTAAAAAAAAGACAGCATTTTATGTACAACTAAAATTGATAAAACATTACTTTATGTGGTTCAAACATTACAGGTGGTGTATCCAGTACTCTTCAAGATGTAAAACCTCAGCAGAGGTGTGGTAGTTTTGTCTACAAAAATATAACAAACCGTTTTATAAGTTGGTATGTTTTTTTATGCGTTATTTATATTTACAATTTTATTTTTGACATATTGTTTTGTAAAAAACCAAGGCGCTCTGAGGGTAATGTGCTGGAGTTGGTAGAGCACAGCCTCGATGTAAATTTACAAGGGAATCAAGTTCGTTACATATTCACCGATAGTCAAGTTTTAGAAGGCATTTCCATGAAAGAAACCCCTGGGGACATAGTTCTTCTTGTCCCAACTGCTTCAAGTGTTCATAGGTTTAACTATATACATCCTGACAAGATCATTGCAAAAGTAAATTAAATTTATTAATTTTGTATTTCTATGTATTTTTTTATATAATATAACTTACAATAATTTCATTTGCAGAGTTTTGGAGGTGAACCATCAGCCCATTCAGTTCTTCATGGTGTCAATGAAAATGACACTGTTGATCCGAGGACCTATCATGTTCTCAACATACCATCATGTTTGTACTCCTTTCTTACAATAGATTTATATTGTTTATAATTTTGTTAAAATTTCTACATTTTTTTTAAACATAATTTCAGGTGCAATAGTTGGTGCTGCATCTTGTATGCCAAGAAATGATATGGCCGAGTTTGCTCTTTCCCTTGCAAACTCTTCTATCCTTGTTATTAGATTAGATTGCCTCACAGGGAAGACGTCAATAACGACTTTAAGCGAAGAATCTTTGATGCCTAGATTTTTTGTAGGATTAACTGATGTAATTTTGTGCGTATTCTAGTATATATTTTTAATTCATTTAGTTGAAAATTAGAAATACATAATTTAAATTGTTCACAAATATTGATTCTTACAATAATAATAATAATATAAATAAATAAAATCTTTTAAAAATAGATGTAAACAATAATAATGTATTACGCTGATGAGCATGCTTTTACATCAGATGGTAGTGTGAGCATTAATGTGAAGTTATTTTTTTATTACTTTCAAAAAGGAAAAAGGAAGCCGTGGAGAATATTGCAGTCAGTCTTCTGTTTCATGAAATCTCAGGAGAACTAATTTTATTTTCTTTAGACCGACAAGGCTTGCTGAAAGCTTGGTCGTGTATGAAAGGAGCGGCTATTTCATCGATCTGCCTTATCAAAAAGGAGATTTTAAGCATAATCAAAAGTAATTAGCCGCAACATTTGAAAAAAATTCAGTCTACTAATCTCAAAGTGTTTTAGATCAGAAGCACAAAATGTTTGGCGGTTTGTTCAATGATGAATTCGCCATCCACTGTTGTATCCAAGGCCAATATATTTCAACTGTGGTTCCTTCTTTTGACTACGGGTCGCTTAAGTTCCACGAGGTCTGCAAGACGCGAATGATCCCAAATCATGAGCTGGTGAGCATCTCTCCGACCAAGGGCAACGATATCTGGTGCAACTGGCTTTCCGACACCGAGACTCCGCTTATCTCAAGGGTTGCCCTTGGAAAGGACAAGGGAACTTATGTTTGCCACACAAGGCCACCAAGTGAAGTAATAAGTTAATACATTTCTAGCTTAACGTTTAACAAAATCACCAATACCAAACGATAAGTTTAGTGAACTCCGTTTAATGGGGTTTTGTCACTCCCATGTTTAATGAAACCGTTTACTTTCTTTAGAAATTATAAGTAATACAAGTCCTTTTTACATCCAAATTTCCTTTAAGCATCGTGCATGCTGGAAGGGTCAGACCACAATCCCCCCCCAAATATTTCCCAAATAAAATTGCAAGGGCAGTTGGGTTGGACCAGAACTGGTGACAATAGTTGGTTGTACTAATGCCTCAGTTACTGATTAATAGTGTATTAAATCCTAATTCATTCCACATAGAATGAAACATTCTGTGAATGTGCATTAAAACTGTAATGCTAAAAGTTGACCACAAGTTAACAACCAAATACAGTCGATTCTTGATAATTCAAAACCCAAGGGACCACATAAATAATCCGCAATATGAAGAGGAAAGAAAACAATTGTTAAGAATTGATAATTTTTCAAGTCATTGCTTAAATTGTACATATAAAAACATAGTAAAAAGAATGAAAAGCGGAAAAGGTCAACTGTAAAATTGATCATTATTAAAAAAAATCATAAAGTGGTTTTTATTTCAACGTGGCCTGGCATTCTTTATTTAAATGATTTTCCAAAGTAACCAATGCTGAGAACACATTGACAAAACATTGACTGCAGAAAATAACAAATTAGAGAAAATTCGAAGAAACTTTAGGGATGTAAGGAAGTAAACAATACGTGGGAATTTAGAGGTATATTACAAAGAAAAATTGTAAATTAGAAAGATGGAAAGTGGTCCCATTTCGATTAATAGCATGCTTTTTCTGCCCCTGTTAAGGAAAATATTTCATATTACTGCACCGGTGACCTGAGATCATATTATCAAGAAATTTGATTTATCAAGTTTCAAATTAACAAGAGTCAACTGTACTATTTTTTACATTGTAAACCTTAAAAATATATTAATACATTTATGTTTAGAGGTCTAATTGACCATATTAATTATTTCAATTTATTATTCTTTTTATGTAAGTCTTTTGTAAGTTCATGGTAGAGATGAAAAAAATTAATTGAAATAAGGTCAACTAAATAAGGTCAATTAGACCACAAAACTTAAATGGATTAATGTACTAAGTAAAGAAGTAATCACTTCACTAGCAGCTCGCTTTGGTTGATTACACGACATTTAAAAAATGGCAAAACAAGGCAAAATGTGAAATGTTGTAGGTTGAGAAGGGGAGTTGGTGTGCAAATAAATCGAAGTCATGATAGTTCAAGTGGTTGAGCCAAAGATCGTGGGTTCAAATCCTGCTCGTGACTAACTTTTTCATCTCAACCAAAACCTTACTTTAAAAATATAATTTAAATATTATTAAGTTTGTATAATTAAATTTTGAAAAATTAAATTATGAACTAAGAACAAATTATGCTATATACAAAAAAAAGCTAAATATCTGTAGATACATAAAAAATAAAACAAAATATTAAAACTAAACATGACAGAAATGCTTCTGTGGCGGGGGTAAACATGTGAACTGAACAAGAAGCGAGCAGGAATCTGAGTGACATGGTAGTTGTGACATTGCAGGCTCGTAACTCAAGACAAAATGTGTGGTGATTAGTGACCGTTAATTGATAATTATTAAGAAATCGTGGTGTACACCAGACCGCATCTCACGATTTCTGAATAATTATCAATTAAAGGTCACTAATCACCACCCATTCAAGACAAAATTTTGACTTGTTAACGGTTCGCATCTCAAAAAACTTGTATGCTTGGGCATTCTTATCTCGTATCTAAGAATACAAGTACCAATATATTCAAAAAATAAAAAATTAAAATTTTTATTCTTCTCTTCAATTTATAGTTTGTTAAAGTTGTTAAGAGCGGTCGAGATTTTTTCCCCCTGGTCAATGTTTCAATCTTTATTTAGCTCATCCTCACGGCATGGGTGAATTACAAAACATCATTGACTGGAAAAAATACAATACAGATATAAATATACATTTTGAACCAAGTGTTTTGTACTCAAATAAAGGTCAAAACATTAGTGCCAAAAAAAAGTTTTTTCTAAATAATTGGACAAATTATTGAATAACCGGTCACAAAAAAACAAAACAAAAAATTAAATTTATAAATGATTTCTCAGCTTTGTCTGACAAATTTCAGCATTTTACCACATTCAATGGTTAGTCTGTAAAAGATAATTTCATTGTTAAATTTAAAAAAAAAAATGCAGATAAACTTAATAATAATAAGCTAACTAATAAACATCTTAGTATGTACAAATGACTCATGTGTAACTTAATATTTACAGATAAAACCTTCGAAAGTTATTTTAAAAGATCAAGCAGCTCTGTACATAGAAGAAATTTTTAACTCAGGATTTTTTACTGCACATGATGTTATAAAAGCCCTCTCTGTATGTTAAACTTAATTTGTTCTAATGTATTAATTTTTTTTTATATTATTAAAACAAGCAAATGTCATTAAAATTTAGATATACAAGCCAACAGCAGTAATAAAACCAAATATAAATATAAGGGACCAAATTTGTACTGTCGTTGAAGCTGAGATTTATTCCGAAGTTGGTGACCAGGACATATACGATGATGTATTCCAAGAGCTTAGTCAGCGTTGTTGGAGCCGCTTATACTCATGTTGCACTCAATACATACACAACTCAATGTTACCACTCTGGGTAGTTAAGATCGGCAATATTCTCATAACAATACACGAGGCTGGATTTTCACTTATTAAACCGATGGAAAACTTAGAGCTCATCTGGTACAACCCTTCCGGCGGAATGTTCCCAAAAGGTATTGGTATTACTATCAAAAATATATTTTCATGATTTTATTTACAAGAAAATTTAACTTATAAAGGAATTTGATTGGAAACGTTAGAGATAATTAAGTGCTATTCGTTTCAGTTGAATACGCCCCACTCATTGAAATGTTGAAAAACTTGGACATTGAAGAATGGCTCGAGTGGATTGATATAATTGTAACAACAGGTGAATCCATTGACTGGCTTTTGCAAAATACTTCAGAAACAATTTTATGCCGATTCAGAAATGAAGTTGATAATGTAAGCTCATTACCTATAATCTTAATATTTAGGAAAATAATTAAAATACTCCATTGAAACCTTAATTAACATAACTTCTTAATGTCTACTGTATGATTATTATGGTAAATTTTAGATCATGGACTTATTTTCACATGACAGTATTGATCTTTACTTTAAAGAACTCTTAAAAGAATTGGCTTTACCAGTTGACTACATAAAAGAAGGTATAACAATTTTAACTTTTTGATATATTTTACAAAAATAGATAAAATTATTTTGTTTATTTAAATATTTAATACTTTATCTCTTTTTTTATTGAGAAATAATCTTTTTAATATAAAAAAGTGTTAATTTTTTCAATCCATAAAACTACTTACTAAAATTATATTTTCTCTCTTTGTAGAAGATGACTGGAAATCATTTTGCAGTCATTCTGGTATAAGTGCGGTTGCATCAGGTGTCAGAGATTTCTGTTCAGTAAGGTCAGTATTGTTGATTTTCTTTTAAAATTAGAATTATCTAATTATAATTTATTTTCAGGTTGGCAGTTTGCAAGAAGTTCCTTCTGTTGTTTGAACTGCTTAAGGTTAACTCTGGGAGAAATTTTAAAAAACTAATCGATAAATACAAAGATGTTTTATTTAATTACTATAAGGTTTGTTCTGTACTAATTTATTATGTTTATTATTGAATTGAGACGATAAATCTTGTTTGATGTCTAGATGTACAAAGCCCTTTATTGGGCTTCTTCGACTAATCTCAATGAGGACACTCCTATCGTTGTAAGCTACGCCTCAGCTCATTATGGAAAAATCATGTGTACAGAATTCGAAGATTCAGTTTTAACCTTGATAAATACTCTGTATCCTTTTTTTCTTTTCTTTTTTTAATTCAATGAAAAATATTAAGTTACTTAGTTACTACTACATTGCTATTTTAAAAATTAAAAAAAAAAGATTACCTGGTTTTTGCAGTAGAAATGGTTAACTTTAGAAATGCATATTTTCTAAGTCTTTTAAGTCACATGCCTGTGCTAGGTCTCATTTTTTAGAAAAATTTACGCTGAACAAGACAGCTTTTTAAGAGATTTCCTAGGTTCAGTCATTCATCAGAAATTCAAAAATTCGGGAAAATGTTAATTATTGCACTTTTTACGAAAACGTCAAATTTAGTTGTGGAGCCAGGAAATTGTCCTGGAGCGGCACCCTATACATTCTAATAGAATTATAGATATAGAATAGAATTAGTAAGCTTTCGATTGGTTCTCTGATTTCTCAACGTTTTCGAGTTATTTGCGATTTTTGGCAAAAAAAACGTGGGTTTTTTACCTGCTCATGGAAAAACCGATCACTCCTTCTCCCGATTTTCAAGAATACCTAAACTTTGAATCATCATTTTTTTGCATATTTTATGCTCTACAACTTTTGTTCCAAGAACTCTTTCACAAAACAGGGAAGCAACAATTCTTACTTTGACCTTCTGGGATGCGAAATGCTTCTACTGTCGACCATCACTTATTTACCTCATCATAGAATTAAACTTTTCCTTCTCATTTCACAGGTGTTGTATGGCAGTTAACTAATAACAACTTCTAAACAATAGGTTTATGTATGGTAAAATCGGGAAGAAAATTATCAGTTTTTTCCATTTGCATGCAAAAAACCATCTTTTTTGCCCAAAAATCGTAAATAACTCGAATACAGTAGAGTAGAACATCACCCATTGAAAGCTTATTAAAATTTCCTATCCTTTGCCAAAAGGGGCCGCTCCAGTACAACTTCCTGGCTGAATTTGAAATTTTTGTAAAAAGTGCAAAAATTAACACATTCCCAAATTTTTGAATTTACTGATGAATGACTGAAGCTAGGAAAACATTAAAAAAAAAACCATCAGCTAAGATTTTCTAAAAACATGAGACCTAGCGCATGCCTGTGATTTAACAGGCTGAGAAAATATGCATTTCCAAAGTAGGCCATTTTTTCCTGCAAAAACCAGGCAGATGTTTTTTTTTTAAATGGGAGTTTAGAATGATTGCTTGTTTTCTTTAATATGAATATCAAAACCAAAAAAGTTGGCCTCATGAAGAGAACAGCACTTTGGCACAACATTTATTATTAAATAAACAGTACTTCCTTCTAGAAAGCTATGCCAAACTTGTTAATCATGATGCATGTAAGTGCAAGAATTTTTATTTTGTAAAAATAAAGAAAAATTTGTATTAATTTTTTTGATAACTTTTATAGGGAGGTTATTGGTCGTAGAAGCATATATAGGGATGGGCGAATATTACAAAGCCTATGACAAGTGTTTAACTGGCCTGAACAACGATTTGCAGTATTATTTAAAATGTGTGCGCCTTTTTGAAACATGCCAACGCTCTGATCTAGTCATCACCATAGCAAAAAATGCCATTAACTTGTGTTCTGGGAGTCTGTCACAACAAGATTTGGTATGTGGTGTATTTGACTGTCAAAATTTTTTCATAAAATACAAAAATTTCATAAATTACAGGAGACACTTCAGTCGATACTTTTCATTCATGAGCTCAATCTTAATCATTTCGTTGAGGCATTCTCGTGGATGGATGCCTGTACTGACATGACACGAAAAACTGCCTTTCTCCAGCGCCTTGTCTCGACCATGATAAATACGCGGCACTTAGATGAACTTATATCTTTTAATTTTGCATCAATAAGTAAGGAACTCGATGGTCTTTTGGCAAAAAGAGCTAGGCGGACACCATTTCCTCAAGCAGAAACTTATTACAATTTATTATATTCTATTCACATTAAAAATGAAAACTTTAAAAGTGGTTTGTATTCATATTGCATAAATGTCTTGTACAAATTTATTTTTTAATTGCGTTTAAATGTTTTTGAAGCGGGCACTGTTATGTTTGAGAAGGGTCTAAGAAGTGAGACCTGCGAAATGCAGTGGCGGTGTTTTGGTGCTTGTCTCAATTCTTTGAAGCTTTTGGAACCTGAAGACACATGGATTTTAAGACCTAACTTGACTTGCACTTATGACGAAGTGAGTTAATCATAAATACTCCAAAATATATTTTAAAAAACAAATAAATTATGCAATAGAAGGTTTGTTTGTTTTAAAATCGTCCTCTGATAAATAATTTTCAATGTATTTGTATCCTGGGTCTTTTTATTTTTCAATTAGTGTAATTAATTAGTTTTTTCTCTGCAGAACTCTGTAGAAATTTTGACAGTCGATGACATACGTAGGGAGTATGAATTGGCTGGAGCAAAATACAACCTCGGTGATTGCCCTCCAAACGCAACAGAAGAGGAAGTTATTGCTCTGTGCACAGCTGCACGCCAGTACAGGGTGGCAATGCGTGTTTCCAATGTATGCAAGCGATCGTTTACACCTGTAATAAAAACTTTTACAGCCGAGTGTATCAACATTTCGGATCAAAAGGAATGGCTGTGGCTCAAGCAAAACGAACTTGATGGTAAATATAAATACGGTAAACTTTTTATACTATTGACGAGATATCTCATTGGCACACTACCTAGGCCCGGTGACATGTTTTCTTGTTGGGCTTGTATACTCGCTCCCCAGGCCCTGTGATCATCATCAATCACTCTTTTCTCCCCTTTTGTTAATCTGGTGTGCTCTTTCTTAAACTTGCAAAATTGCAACACATTCCTTTTTCTGGAAAACAATTTGGCCACAATATCTATGTCTCATCAGGAATGATTTACTTTCATATATCTCTCACCCTGCCATGCCCAATCCTCTACCGTTTCCTACCATCTACCCTATTGTTCCTGATCTTTCGCCTCTTAACTGCCCAGTGCCTTCAATTTTACATCATTTACATCCGCAGTACTTTTTGGAAAAAAAAAAATATATATATATAATAATTTAAATTAATTATACTTTTTAACTAAGTAAGAACTTTTACTACTTTTTATCTTGGTTGGGAAGAAAAAGCTAATGTTACAAGCAGGATTTGAACCCATGACCTTCGGCCTGGTCCCAGCTTTTTCATCTCTACCAAGACCTTAGATAAAAAATTATAATTAATTTAATTAATTAATGCAGGCAATTATGACTCGTAAATACATACACTGCCAGTCAAAAGTTTAGGTCCACCTAATCTTTTGCAATAAAAGAATAAAAATAAAGATTTGAAACAAAATTGGTTGAACTTTCTGTAATATGAATTTTATTTTGAATTATGGCAAATCATGAAAAGATTGAATCCATTAGAAAGCTGAGAACAAAATGACTGATCCCTTGCAAAAAGCTGTTTTGTACTGTACTATTAATTTTATTTTTTAAAAACAATTTATTACAGATATATTAATCAGTGAGAAAAACTATGAGGAAGCCTGCTGGAAAATCTTACGCAGGTTCGTTGAACGATACGAACGCACGAGAGAAAGCGAATTGCACAAAGCAGCACTCAGCCAGCTTTTGGAGAGTGGTTCATTTGTTCCACAATGGCTGTTTACGTCATACCGGAAGAGAAATACTGCCGAGTTTCTACGGATGTTTTTGAAGTATGGCCGTTTAGAAGAAGCTGCCGAATTGGCAAACGAATATCTCAGGGCTGCAATGGGCATTGCATGGGAAATCCACTCCATTGACTCGCCGATCCTGCCACAAGGTCCTCCTATCTACCTCCCTATTCATACTATTGATGTTCTCATTGCAGAGTTAAAAAACAATAAGGTATTTTCTGCATTTAAGCCATTAAAAGTCAAGTATGGTAAACTTTTTTAAAACATTTAATTATTAATTAATTGTTTTTAAGGTTGAAAATACCCTGGAGAAAACATTGAAGGAATATCTCGATCTAGCCATGCGGATTTCTCATGATAAAATAGTTATGAAATGTTAACATAATTTTTTCACAATATTGTAAATAAATGGTTTTGATTGTTAATAATTTTTTAACAACCTGACTTCTTCTGTCTGAGATAGTTAACACAAATACATCTATTTCATAAGTTGAACTGTCAGCGAGTGTCCGGAAAAGCTTGTTATAAACTGCACGTAATCTTAATTGGTTAATGGTTTTTATCATTTTGATCCTTTTACATTTTAGATTTTTATATATGCGAAATTTGAGAAAAGAATACAGCTGGAAGGAAGACACAGAGTCTACTGCTGAAAATTTTGAACTTGAACTGTCTTTGTGCGTAGCATTATAAAACCAAGCAACCAGTTTGTATTTAGAGCCAAGCATTCAATGTAATCAGGATACATATTACCAATTTATACAGAAAGCTCTGTAAGATAAAAACATATTGTGGGATATCTTTGTGGGTTGATGAACCTGTAATTTGGTTGTAACCGATCGTTCTAGTCTGCCTATCCTTCCTGTGTTGGTCTGTTGTACGTTCATCTTTATTCTTAGAGGTATTGTGTTGGAATTTATCATGCCTTGTGGGTAAGACTAGACAACAAAAGAGGGCGGAGATAAGCGAGCCGACGAAGAGAGAATTGAGATCACATTGCGACCAGACCTCACCACCCTTGACCAGCGTTGTGTCAAAGTATACCTCCTTTCGTTTATAACTGCGTACACTTCAATTATTCTCTTACATCAAAAGTGGGATAGTAAAGTCCTATATGCGATCTAGTTAGTAATAAAAAAAAATTACCTCCCTTTGCGTAAAAAAAAGAAATATTACAGAACCCAACCTGCAACACAAAGATTTTGCCTACTTTCGCCGTTTTGTAACATTATTAGTTATGTTTTTATGATTTGTGGAATTCACAATTGAACTTTGTTATACTTGTTTATTATGTGGACTAGTTTAAAAAAATTGCCTGCTTTCACCATTTGGTAACATTAGTTTTTGTGATGTGTTATTCACCATTGGACTTTGCTATACTTATTTATTAACTCAGCTTTGAACTTTGCAAATAGATTTTATAATTACTATTCTTTCTACTTTCATTTTGATGGCTTAAAAAAATTGTTCTGCTAACCCAGTATCATTTTTTTCCCATAAGGTCTTCCTTGGACTATTTTCGGCCTGTTTATCAACTTAGTTTGGAAATCTGCAAGTTGAATTTGTAATCCCTCTTCATTTTGATCATTAAAAAAAAAAAATACTCTTGTCACAGAAATTCAGAATTACGCTGATTCAATATCGCATTGTGACCAGATCTCACCTACCCTCGACCTGCATTGTGTCAAATTATACTTCCTTTCAGTTATAACTGCGTTCATTTCAATTATTTTCTTACATCAAAAGTGGGATAGGGAAGTCCTACATGCAGGCTCGTTAAAAAATTAATTAATTAATTAAAATAAAAATTGCCACCTTTCGCATATAAAGAAGAAATATTATAGCCAAGCCTTATTATTATAAGAAATACATAGCCACGCCAAGGCTTACAAGTGATAAAGTTGATCATCCTTTTTAACTCACAGTTGTTTTTCCGCTTCCCCAGTTTCATTTTCTTATTTATTAACAGCAACTTGAATTTACATTCCCTCTCAATCCTTTTTAAAAAGGATTGAACACCGCACTCACTCCATCATTCATCATTTCTATTCCCTCTTTATTTCCCTTTCATTAAAAAAAAAAAAAATCTCGTCTCATGAAGATGGAGAATTACGCTGTTTTGAGATCACATTGTGACTTGTCCTGTGTTGTGTTAAATTATACCCGTTTTCATTTATAATTGCGTTCATTTTTACGAGGGAACATAAAAACAACAACCCAAGACAACATGTTGAGCTTTTGACCTCACCTTTTGGAAAGATTGTACCAAATTAGGCAAGACTAATACTCTGATTTGTTCGAAAAAACATAATGTGGCATCTTAGACCCTGTACGTTACCATTTGCAAGTAATCTAGCATGGATGGAAAACATCTATCATCGATATTTGGACAGCAACTTGGAAGATCAAAATAAACAATCATAAATCTCCGATTATGTTAACTAAATAAATGAGTAAACAAACCACATGGTACCACTATCTTTGCTTTCAATAAAATAAAAAATCTTTCTAAAAAAGAGCACTTATTTTAACTGTTGTACAACATACTGCAGAAATAGGTGTATATAAAAAAATGTTACTAGTTTCCTGTGAAATGTAAGAAATTCTAAAAATGTGTTTTACATAAATTTAGATGCTGAGGATGGGCAACAGCCCATAATGTCCAAAGAAAAATGTACATACACACACACATATATATTTTTTAAATTGTGCTGATTGTGTTTATGTCTAAAATAACTAATGTACTACTTACTACTTCTTAAGGTTCACAAAGGCTCTACCTTACTCACAATTTGAAACTGTCATTTACCGGGGAAAAACAAAAACAGATCCCTTTTCGATAAGTCATCATTTACAAACTTGTGGAAAGACCAAACTCTGCAGGGATCTGGGGCTAATTAGCTCAGGGAACCTTTGTGCATTCCCAAGCTGGTCCTTTACCTTTTTTTAATGACAAACATATAAAAGAAAATTGTTTAATTCTTTTCAATAAAGGACATCTCAATTTGGACAAAAACATGGACGGGTTCAGATGAAAAATAGTCATTGAATAAATGCATGTAAATAATAAAATAATTTTACAAAACATTAATAAAACAAAATTTGGTGTTTTAGAGAAGACATTTTAAATTAAAGGTAGTGTAATTTAATGACCTTAAAATGTGGAATAACGGACCCATTCAAATCAACGTGTTGCGTTCAAAATTTATTATGCCTGTTAATTGAGCAAATTTAATTTTGCGAAGGATAATTAGAACAATTACCATTCAGAGAAACACTTTTAAAAGTTTGTCAGGTTTGAAAAAATTCTAGAAGGTAAGGGTGTACAGTGTGTCGAAGAGAAGTCCTCCATGTATTTCCCAGCCTGAAAAACCAAATATAAATATATATATATATATATAATTTAGAAAAAATGATAAGATATTACGAGATAAAGAAGAAGTGCAATTTTCAACTCTTCAGGTGATTCTTTGCCAAGCAAAGTATATGGGTACTCATCGCCATGGCTAGTTCTGTAGTCCGCAAGCAACCCTTGGCAGATGTTCTCATCTACTTCATAGTTTTCAAGTACACTAGCTAGAACATAAACATCAACACTGAGAAGAGAATAATACAATAATATGTAATAACAGTTCTTTGGAGGTAGTTCAAAATGTTATATATATCCAAAGAAAAATTGGTTCAACAGTTTAAGTTTCTTTGTCAAAAGCTGTTGATAAGGTTTCAAAACTTCTTCAAATCCTTGACCTTTTTGAATTTATTGCAAATTGTCAATAAGTATTTCTTTTTGTCTCTTACAGACTGAGTGAAAATCTTTGTTTGCATTATGATAAATTATTTAAACAAAGTTCGATTTTTTTTTCTTTTCTTAATACTGACTCAGAAGCATAAATGTTTTTTTTTTCTTGGATAAGCTGGACCTGGGCTTCTCTTGAGATGATAGAAGTAACATTGGTGGAAGTTTTTTTATACTTGAAGTTAGAATATCACAACCTGTGGATTCCTTGGCAAAGAAGAAAATTTCCATCATAACAGTTCTGATTTTTTGCAATAATTTTCTTTATCATTTTTCTTAAAATTCAAAAAATTGAAAGGGTTCAGAATAAACTTCTAAGATATGCAGCTTATAAGCTTAAAATTCCCCGGGCTATACATGACTTCTTTAATATTTTCGATTCCTTTTATATCTTAAATTCAGAAAAGAGAAGAATTTACCTCGATCTCATCTTTCTTTATAAATTTGTGAATAGGGGCGTCGATGGCCACAATAGTTTAGGCGTTGATACGGTGCTCATCACTGTAAGATAAAGATCCCGGTTTCGAATCCAGCGGCCTTGCATTTAAACCTGACATACTTACAAATGGGCTTTAAAAAAGCCTCACTTTAAACTTTTTTAATTTCCAAATTAAACTTCAATCAGACCCAGGGTACTTTTTTCTAACAAGAATCCAATCAACACAAGGGTTCCTTCCTTCAAATTCAACTGGTATTTTTGGGGCTTGAATTATAAATAGTTTGTAATTACTTAATAAAAACTTTCTTCTATATAAAACTTACTATCCTCTCTTTTTTGAGATTTGAATTGATCTATAAATAGTGGAATCGCATTCAACAGAAGAGACAGTAATGGCATAATATGAGATGAGATTGAATAGTTACCGGTCTGGATTAATGCCATTTTAGGCTCATCATTTGCCACCTTTTCTAAAATTAAATATGTTAATTATGCTTAGCTACATAAGTAACTTTTGTTTAACTTTTGAAACATAAGTTACTATGTTTCCCAGCTCTCATCCCACGAACACATAAATATAAATAAACTAATTACATAAAAGAAAGTTCCATCAGTAGGTAATGCACACAATTTAGCTAATTTAGCTTTCCTTTTCCTATTTATCCCTTTCTATATAATCCTGAAAGGATAATCTGGCTAAACCATTACCAACACATTTTTTCCCTTTGTCGGCTCTTTTCACCTCAAAGAAGCCAACGCCTTATACAAAAATGTCTTTTCTATACCGACATCCTTCCCCACCTCTCCAAAATCCAACGTATATAAACACAAAATAGCAAAATCTCACTGGCACTCTTGACACGACACGCAAGAATGGCACAATTACACAGAAGACAAACACTTTGAATGTGTAGAAATACTTTGATTGAATATATAAAAAAAAAATATTTTGCATTGTATAAATTCACTTTTCCACATCCAAAATGTAATTGTTATATGTAAACAATGTTTGTAAATCCCAGGCCCTGAAGATTATCTCAATAAAGATCGAAACTTTGGCACGATAAAGAAAATGTTTTTCTGAAACCTACATCACACCAGACCGCATCTCACGATTTCTAAATTAAAAAGTATATAACTAAAAAGTAATGCATACAGTTAGTGCTTATCCACACCCCTCATACCAAGATAATATTAGCATTAGTAAAATTAAATTAACACAGACTGTCCTTTTCAAATTGAAATCAGCTATCAATATAAAGTTGAAATTAGCAGTTAGTGTCAGAAAATGATTTTTTAATATTTTTTTATTACATTTATTTGGTATTTATAACTACAAGTGATGTATTAAGTAAATATGTTCGTATATATTGAATTATAATTTGAGGCTCTTGTAGGAGAAGTTGCCCAGTGGTAACACTCCTTCACACTGATATCTTATTCAATCTTCACACAATGAGGTCTCAGGGCCACTTTCGCTTCAATCGTCTTGGAGGATTTTTAGGTAGGGTTGGAAGTGATAAATTTCGTACGAATAGATTACTGTGTGTGTTCAGCGATTGATGAAATTTTTTATATCGGATTTTGATGAGTTCATGTACAAATAAGATGTATTAGGTCTTTGTAGTGTAATTTGAAACGTAAAAAGGAGCATTTATAATTTGACGGAGAATTTTAGATTGGATTGATTGGAGACGCTGGGAATTAGAATCCTTGGTTGAGCCCCACACTTCACAACCGTACGCCCAGAGAGGTCTTGTCAGAAAATTAAAAAAAAAAAAAAAAAATTGGTTGTCTTTATTAATAATAAAAATAGTAGATAAACAGCTGAGCTTAGAATATTGTTGATTTTAATTTTGATGAAGTTTTTCAACAATATAGAAACTTGTGAAAGCGATAATCGGGAACAGATGAACTTCTTCACAGCAATCAGTACACCACCCCTGATATTCTTATGACTATTGTTTTACTATCATCATGATTAGAGATCGGATTTTTATGCAGTTGTATATTTTGTTTGCCACGTCCGAGGAAATCAATTATCTATCCGAATCATGTATCAAGGAAGCTGAAGGTTAAATTTTATAGAGCATATTTTTGCATATTTTGAATATCGCATAAAATTGCATATTTGAACAATATTGCACATTTGAAGCATTTTTAAAATCGCATTTATTGTACAAAATATTTAAAATATTATATTATATTGGTTTTCGGGGGAAGCATTAAAAAAAATCTGTAAAAAAATAAATTGATGAAAAATTGGTTTAATTCAAAGAAAACTGAAACAGGCCACAATGACAATGACAGTAAGAGAAGATGAAGCAATACTGACAAAAGAATATAAAACCCATTCTTAGGTATTATTTCAATATTCAATATAAACACAAATTTTAAGTGAACGCAGACACAATTTCACAGGATACAATTTAGAGAAGTACTTTAGTTACTTAACATTAATTATACTCAATTAGTATTAAAATATATAATTTAATTACGTAAGTGCAAAAATATTTTTGTTAAATGTAAATAAACACTAGGGTGTTGATGGCTGCAACGGTTTAGGTGTTGACACTGTACTCATTGCTGTAAAGGTGCCTGGTTCGAATCTAGTGGCCCTGCATTCGAACCCACCATACTTACAAATGGGCTTCTTTTTTTTTTTAACACTGGCACCCCGAGGGTTCAAATATCCTCGTAGTTGGGGAGGAAAAACCTCTAAATACTTGTGAATATTTTTAGTTTTAGAAAGTTTTAGTATCTATTTTGTTTAATTATCTATATTTCTGTGTAAAATTACTATGATAGTAAAAAAACTGGTTTACAGCATATCATCGCATATTTTAATGTATTAATACTGCATATTATTGCATATTTCAGGGCTTTCAACTGAACATTTTATGGCATATTTTGGCAATCTTTACTCCATAAAAATCTGGTCGCTGATCATAATGAATGATTATTTTATCTTTCATTTTAATTCAATTAATTAGTCAAATAATAATTGCTGTTGGAAAAGTTGGAAAATGATACTATTCTATGTGAGGATTAGCCTCAAATGCCTGGAATAATGATATGTAAATATAGCTACAATCAGGAAGGACTGGGAACAGAGCCACCAATCAATCCTTAGAGACCAATTGAGCCTTCAGAGAAAAAAAAGAGTAATTTTTTCTTGCCAACAAAATAACAAGATATTAAACAATTTAAAAGTTGAAAACTTCCAAATGAACTTTTTTCTATAAAATAAAATGCTAAAGAAATTATTGATATATGTATTTGTCTTTTTTATATTACTGAGAGGAAGGGTAGAAGAAGAATTGAGCACCACTTAAATACAAAATAGGATGACCCCAGCAAGTATATTAATGAAAGGTCACTAGAGGTTTAAACCCAGTTTGTAATGGAGGCGGCAGCCTTTCTACCAATGATTATTTTACTACTCTCAATCTTTGGTAATTGTAAATGCCATCTTCTTGAAGATAGCCAAATAACAACAGGTAACAAAAGTTACTTATGTAGCTAAGCATAATTAACATATTTAATTTTAGAAAAGGTGGCAAATGATGAGCCTAAAATGGCATTAATCCAGACCGGTAACTATTCAATCTCATCTCATATTATGCCATTACTGTCTCTTCTGTTGAATGCGATTCCACTATTTATAGATCAATTCAAATCTCAAAAAAGAGAGGATAGTAAGTTTTATATAGAAGAAAGTTTTTATTAAGTAATTACAAACTATTTATAATTCAAGCCCCAAAAATACCAGTTGAATTTGAAGGAAGGAACCCTTGTGTTGATTGGATTCTTGTTAGAAAAAAGTACCCTGGGTCTGATTGTCATTTTTATCAATGTGAACTTCATCAGCCAGTAAAACCAGCTTGCAGGCTTCAGGTATTATTTTTCATTATGCCAATCATAAATTTCACAATTTTCGGCTAGGATGAAAGAAATTATTTTAAAAAGTTTATTCCTAGCTTCAAACTTAAATTATTGTCGGTTTAACATATTATGAAATGAACCTTTTATAAACAATTTTACCTGAATCTTTTTTCTTTAAAAAATAGACACATTCTCAAATGTGGATAATTTTATAATGTGTTCTGTACACTGATCATTCAATATATATGTTTTTTAAGGTGATTGATGAAGAACCATTTCCAATTATCAATCCAAAAACAGTCATCGAAAAGAGTATACTTGTGAGGATAACTAACTGTCTTTCGATTAGAATATTTAAGTGTGTATATGGCTACAAATACTCCAAAGAAAGTAAAGGATGTATCAAATTTCTTAACAATTACTCTCAATGTATTTGTCCTGCTTGAACAACACAAATAAACAATGAAATAATTCCTTTTTGTTTTTAACTCACCCTTCGATGAACCAGAAGTCTCAAACCAGTCTTGAAGAGCGTGTTCAGAATTCTCTGTGAATAACGCTGGATACCTCCTCTTTAAGAGCTTCTTTAAGAGGAAATTGCCTCGATTTGTTGATATTTCACCTGGTCTAAAAAGTAGAAATGTAGAAATTGAAAAAGGGAAAAGCCATAATTCAAACTGACATGATGCAGATGACCTCATCTTCTGTTCTTCGGATCAGCTTGATCGGGCCAGGATATTCAACTAGCAGCCTTGAAACGTTAAGATCTGCATAGCTCCGAATGGTGAGACGTACCAGTGACTCGAGAAATTCTGGCATCTGGTTTAAAGCCAATGGGAGGATGTCATCAAAAGTAGCATCTAATATCTTAAATTGAACATATTAATATGGGTTATTTATTATAAACATTAAAATTTATAAGTTTAACTTTTAGAAACAACTCACAACACCCTTAACACGAGGGTAATGCATGGCAGCCCATGAGACAGAATAACCGCCTATACTCCATCCATAAAGAATAATGTTTTCAGGACTGAAGCCAAGTCCCATTATGGAGAATTGCATGACTGTATCGATTGCATTCTGTTCCTGGTCTGGGTAAGGCATCCCCTAAATAAGTATTATTAAATTAGGGAAGAAAATCTTGATCTAATTTTAGATTAAAAAGAAAGAGTGGTTTTGGAAATACAAGACTATACAGAAAATTCCTCAATTTGTGTAAGTCAAGGAAAAGACGATGACATAACCAAAGATAATTTAACAATATAAATCAGATGACCGTGGGTTTTACCAGTTGGTGGATTGATGGAAAGTGAGAAAATCACTTTATTTCATCTCATCCTTTTGAGGATTATTTCCTCTTTTTCAAAGATAGAAACTTGTACAAAAGGCACAATATGTCTAATTAAATGCTGATCTATCAATCTTCTTTGAACTATGTGATAACATGGATAATAAACAGTCAAATAGTTATTTTACATTTTTTAATGACTATTTGATTATATAAGGTAACGGTACTGGTAGAGGACACTTTCTATCAAAACTTGAAAAATAAGGATATGAGCTGTTAGAGCTTCTCCAAATCAAAACTGGAGTTGGGATCCATCTAGGAACTGTTGATGACTTCCAAAGACTCAAAAATGTTCAAGGATTTTACAAATCGCCGACTTCTGACTCAGCTGAGTTTCTTTTTGTCTCCTTGCTGATTTTGCTAAGGAGTTAAGACAATTATTTTACTTGTTTACAGCCAAAAATTATTCTATAACTCACTTCAATGTATTTTAGTAATTGAAATGTATTATTCACATGATTTGCTTTAAATCTGCAGCTGTCTTTGATGTACAAGAGGCTAGGCTTAGGTGGCCAATAGTGAATCAGAAAACACCATAAATTTAGATGTGGACATCAAGAGTCCACATACAAGATTATTTTATCAAATTTTCATTGTCTAAACAGTTATCATGGCCATAGATTTGCCACATCTAAATATATCGATTATCTAACATCCTGGGCTAATAGTGGATGCTAGTTTTCCTAAAACATAGTCTAGAAAAAACTACTGTAGAATATTCGTGGCCCAGTGAGGGAACAGTAGAAAAAAACAATCATGATCAAAAAGAAAGAACAATGAATGAAGAAGCCTCACTACTTCCGAGTTTTCCTCCACTTTTCCTCTTATATCTCGTAGAAGGCTCGATGGATTTTTTACTTCCAACGTTTTTCCACATTTTGAACCGAAGTAGGTAGGAAACTAGTCAAAAAATTTTCTGAGTTTTCCTCTGCTTTTCCTCTTATAACTTCTAGACCATTCTTCCGATTTTTTTTACTTCCAACATTTTTACATTAGTTTACAATCGAACTAAATGGTTAAATAGTCAGAAATTTTTTTGGACTCTTCCTTGGCTTTTTCTAGACGGATCGATGGATTTTCTTACTTCCAACATTTTTCTGTTAAATTCACTAGTTTTCATGGTCCGCTTGACCAATTAATATCTTTCAATTAATTGAGGTTTTTAGTTGAGATAAAAAAGTCAATGTCACAAGCGGGATTCGAACCAAGATCTTCAGCTAGATACACCGCTATCTAGCCGAAGATGGTGGATTCGAATCCCGCTCGTGACACTGACTTTTTTATCTCAACTAAAAACCTCAATTAGTTTTTCTGTTAGTTTTGGACCGAACTAAATGGTAAAGCAGTCAGAAAAATTTTGAGAGTTTTCCTCCGCTTTTTCTCTCGTATCGAATGTGATGCAGCCTGAAAAATTTTCAAAATTTATAAATTACTCACTGTACTGCAACCAAAGCCGGGATGATTCCAGCCCAAAACAGAATAGCCTGCGTCAACTGCAGTGAGCATGATCCCACTTTCGTAAAATCCTGCATTGCCTTCCGAACAAACAACCAGGACGTTTGCTTTTTCCCCACTAGAAAACAAATGTGTCGCACGCATGAACATTCCATTAATAAATTTAATTAAGACGGTAGGAAAAATTGTTAGAAAAAAACAACTAATATATTGTGAATATTAACTCATTGTTAACAAGTTGAGATAACCATCCCTAACCAACTGACCTAATTAAGGGTCAACAGGGTAAGCAATATTCCGCCATCAACCCTCTCATATCACATATTCATGCTAATAAATACATTCACTCTCAACCTTTACACATATTATACAACTAACCTAATTGAGATTGATGGGGTACTCGATATTCCTCCATCCACCCTCTCACATCACATATTCATGCTAATAAATACATTCACTCTCAACACAACTTTTACACATATTATACAACTAACCTAATTGAGATTGATGGGGTACTCGATACTCCCCCATCAACTATCTCACATCACATATTCATGCTAATAAATACAATCACTCTCAACACACAGGGAATAAGAGATTTAAATATAGTCAAATACTTTAAAATATTCACCCAAGACTTCTCTTGTCGACAAACATTGTGTCGATAAAATTACCATCTACAGTTTTTAGTTTAAAGCGCTCGCCTCGTTTATTCTCAATCAAAACTTTCCGGCCATCCATCAAAGCCGCACCTTTAAAAATGTACAAATGTTTATGTGTTATAAAGTGAATCACGAAAAATAAAAAATGAAAAAATAAATAAAACATACTCAAGATAAAATTTAAAATTGTTGTTGAACCAGGGTAAATCATACGAATACCAAAAGTATGAAGGACAAAGTAGCCAAGTAATGAGCAAGGACTGTAGATTAGACTAGATAACGAACTCCTCCAGCCTTTGGTTTCGGAAGGTTTTTGCCTCAGACTGCAAATTAAAATGATATATAATTTTGTCAAAATAAATAAATAAAGAACTCACCCTTCCTTGTATTCGTACTCAATAGGCCAATAGTTGAAGTCAAAATCATAACGCTTGATTTCATTCTGATAAAAAATGAATAAATTTCAAAAGAATAAATTTTCTTTTTATTCCAACTTACCAAGCCATCCTTTCCCTTGCTGCTCGACATATTGAGTCTGCTCAAGAAAGTCTTATATTTATCATTTGACGCTCTACCGTAGCTTCTGATGCAATAAGACGATCCCATAATGACACCAATACCCAAGCTGACTTTACTGAGAGTTAAGAGAGTTTCGGGTGTCATGTATCCACGACGGTACATATAAGTTGCTAATATGGGTGAGCTATACACGCCAATTTTGTAAAAGACAAGTATCTGAAAAATTGAACAAAACCAACAATAAATGATTGCACAGGAATATAATATAATAAAAAAACTGAATACAAAGTATTATATATGATTGAAAATAAATGAAATTTTATTCTTTGGGTGTCAATTTTCATTACAGTGATTGATGTTCAATATTATTGACTATTATTATGCAGAACAAAATTTCAACATAAAGCTTTTAATTTCTATTGACCTGAAATAGACCTGCTTCAATAAGGTCATATTACAGGAACCTATCAGAAAATGCAATAATAATACTATACGTTCATATTTATCATTGTTATAATATTATATTGTATATATATAATATGGCTGAGAGGATTTGGGGTTGACATGTTGGCCAAGTAGTCAGTAATTTCTACCATTAATGTTGGAATATTCTGCTCCCCATAGTTTTATAAAAAGCCCTTTTGCGTGTAATTTACATTTTATTGCTATATACCTATTTTGTGACCAATAATCTAATTCCTGTCACACAAGAAGGTTTAACACCCAACTCCACATTTGGTGCTGTGGGCAATCTCAATACTTTTTTTTTCTAATTATTATTATTTTTAATCTAAGGTTTTTGTTGAGGTGAAAAATTAGTGAGATAAGCGGGATTCGATCCACAACCTTCGGCTCCAAGGGGATCGAAGTCATGGTAGCTTAAATGGTAAGAACAGCAGCGTATTTAGCTAAAGGTCGTCGGTTTGGATCTCGTTTATGACACTAATTTTTCATCTCCACTAAAACCTTAGATAAAAAGAATAATTAATTGGAATAATTAATTTGATTAATTATGACCACACTAAGCAAATATGGATTAACTTTTTCTTTTCTTTAATTATAGAACTCCAAGGGCAATGCTGGGATTAGAACCCAGAACCACTATTATAGTGCATACACCTTAACAGCATGACCACCACAGTCCATTTTTAACCAATAAATGCCAAAATATTTTTAATTTCAACGTTCTTTACAATACTTGAGGGTGTTCAGACACGATACTTCAAATCAAAGAAAGAGTAATCATTTTATGCTCAAAAAAAAAAATATATATATATATAAGTGAATGTTCATATGTGTGTTAATGATTAAAAACGAATACTACAAAACCGATTTCGATAAAAATTTCAAATTTTTTTTATTAGTGCCGGGCGGGTTTAGAGACTCTAAAATGGTTATATAACAAATAATGGGCATCAGGATTTACAAAAAAGAGAAATAACACTTTTTATTGTCCTCCTGCCAATACTGGGTTATAAAGTTAGTAAATAACAAAAATCAATATTACAATGTATAAATCAAACTATCCAAACTACTACTGCTTAGGCTGTTTTGGTACTCAAAACCCAATCAGTAGATTTATTATTATTATTATTTTATTTTTTTAAGAACAGTTACAACCATGAGTCTTTTTTTATAAGATGAATATATTTCAAAGTAGCCCTGCTTTCTCTAGAATATAAAAAATCTTGACAATATTTCAGGTACACCTTTCAGGCTTTCAGGTTCTTAACAACAGAAAAAAGTAACCTACATGATCTTTAAAAAGAAGTAACTTTTAGAAGAAAAACAATTAAAAAGCAAAGTTAATTTGTTCCTTATTGTTGGAATTTAATGGAATAAGTAAAAATTTGAGTTTTGTTTCCTGATATGTTGCAAACTGATATTGTAAATGTAACAATTGAGATATATAATGTACAATTTTACATTGGAAAGTATCTGTACTTTCCAATGCTGTATTAAAAAATTAAATAACTTAAAAAAAAGACCAACACCTCTTAAGGTGGCTCCAGACATGTGGTATTCACTAAATGCTGCTGAACATTTGCCAAGTCTCGAGATGCTCTGATTGGCATTCGCCAAATAGAGTGCCTATTTATACGTACAAGGTTCGTACAACCATCCAGTTTATGTGGAAACAGCATATACGTATTTGCCAAGTGCAGTGCAAGTCCTCAACTTACTATGGACAATAGTGAAACTGTTTTAGTTTTGTTTTTTATTTTAATTTAGTAAATAATTACAAATTTGAGTGAGGGGCCACTTTAATTACAACCAGAAAGTCATTAGATTGTTTAAATTTTAGTAAATAGTTACAGTGAGGTTTTTGATAAGTGGGAAAAAGTTGAAAATAAACTCATTTAGCAAGGAGAATTCACAAAATAGATTTTGAGGGCACAAGTAAATTAATAAATAAAAATTATGTACATCTACTGGTCAGGAATGATAGTAATATAACAGGGCATTTCTGCTGGCAGCACATCTGCTTAAGAAATGTAGCATTCTTGACTTCACCTCCATGGCAATGGTCTTTATTTGGTCATCTTGTGGAGGTGCCCAATCCTGATCCTTATTGTACAAACCACAAAAACTTATTTTGGATCTCTTGAAACATGTCGGAGTTAGACTGGCAAGTGATGCTTTAAGCAAGGCACATGTACAGAAGCATGGAATGTTAATGCATGCTGTAGACAAATCAGCAACCTGATAGCAGTTTTGACTATTCTATCTGCCACATGCCTAGTCAACATCAAGCTGCTATCCGTGGTTAAGCCCAGATATTTATTTATGCAGCCTGACCAGATAATGTTATTTCCTACTGCTACAACAAGGGATTACTGCAGGTCTTCTTTTGGTGAAATTCCAATTTCGGTTAAGAGCCTTCTTATTACTGTGCTTGGCCTCCATGAAGATGTAGGGCAACAGTAAAAATGTCAAAACTATAGTCACAGAATATTCTTGCCCGACCTAACAACATCTGTTCCATGCATCGAAAAGTCATTCCGATTTTTGTGATTTGGAAGAGAAGCGATCCAAATTATTGGTTCAGATTGGTACAGACCAAGGAACTCCAAGGCTGTCATATTGGACTAATCCATTCCTAATCGAAACAATTCTATGTTGTTCTTTCATTAATACATATCTACACCAGTTAGGAATTGTTCATTTTCAAAAAATAATTAATGTTCACTGATGATTACAGTTGATACAAGTACAGTACAGTTCCCAAATATGTGAACAGGAACTGTACAAGTCAGCACAACCAAAGGTATTGCCACCTCTTCTATGGAGCCTAACAGTTGATGAACTTCTCGAAACTCTGAGCCATAAAGGGATAAGGGTGTCAGGGCTACGCGAATGACATAGCCTGACCACCAGGAGAAAATTCGAGGAAACTCTCTGTGACATAATCCAAGAGGGGCTAAAAATCACAGAAGTATGGTGTAAAACCGCTGACTTAGGAATCAATCCTAATGAAAAACCAAAGTTGCTTTTACACAGAAAAGAAAACTGGATCACATGAGGCAAATATCACTCAATAACACTGTGATAGAAATAAAAAAAGAGGTCAAATATTTGGGCATCACATTAGATAAAACAGTGACGTTTAAGAAACACATTGAGCTCCACCATTATGAAGGAGACACGAGCTTTGATGGTGTGCAGAAGAATAGCAGGGAAAAACTGGGGATGAAGACCAGAAACTTGCTTAGGATATATATCATGATGGTAAAACTTATTCTTACATATGGAGCCATAGCCTGGGCCAATAAAGCAGAACAAGTAAATAAAAGAAAAGAACTCACAAAAATACATAAACTTGCATGCATCTGCATAACGAGAGCAATAACATGACCCACAGTTGGTATGGAAAAAATATTGGGATTAATCCCTCTACACCACAAGATAATGAGGACATATCAGAAAACTATTATATGTATCATTAAAGACAAACCTCCAACAGGAATAAAACTAAAATGGAGAGAGAGCAACAAAATAATGAAGGACCATCCGATACTCATGGCTCCAAGGGATGTATAGGATGTTTGAATTTATTTTCTAAATAAACCTAAGTACCAAAAAGAAAGGGAATGAGAGGAAAACACCTCCTTTAAGAATGGCGCCATCTTTTGCTTCACAGATGGATCTAGAACACAAGATGGTACAGTGGTAGGGGTATTTGGTCCTGGAACGACTCAGAACCCATGGGAAAGCACACCAGTACCTTCCAAGCTGAAGTCCATGCAATCAAGAGATATACTCATTTCAACTTGACTAAAGGGTACAAAAACAAGAACATAGCTACCATGTCAGATAGCCAAGTAACCATCAAAGCACTAAGCTCAAGTATCATTAGTTCAAAGATGTTGTTGAACTGCAAAACTAAATTAAACTTATTAGGTACGCAGAACAAAGTCAGCCTCTGCTGGGTCCCAAGACTCGTAGAAGGCGATGAGAAAGCGGACGCCCTTGCAAGGAAAGGAGCTGCTACACTGCTGATAAGACCCCGGTGGCACACTATCAATGAGTACCTCAGACAGAAAGACAAAAAGAAAATGAAGGAACAATGGAATTCACTTATTGGCATAAACAATCCAAGAATCTCCTAACAAATTTCGGAAGGAAAGAAGTTATAGAATGTCTCAAAGGAGGCAGGAAAAAACTGCAAATCTTAACAGATTCTAAGCAGGACACTGTAAGCTAAATGGACATTTAAAGATTGGAATAATCCAAGACGGCACATGCAGATTCTGCACAGAGGCAGAGGAGACACCAACACACCTATTAAAAAACTGTGGTGCTACACTTGCCCACAGGAAGAAGTGTTTTGGGACACTTTGTAGATGAAGGGAAACAACATACCATGCTTGAGATTCACAAGAAAGACAAAGTAACGCACCATCTTAAAATGTCGGGCAGAAAGGAACCCCCATAACCTTTTAGCAGTTCATTAAGATCAAGCTCAATACAGCTAACTTGGCATCTGCACGATAACCACAACGTAACCGTAAAAGAGATCAACCACTGAAACCAGGCCTAAGTAAATCAAGTTCCTTGATGAACTAGGACTCACCGTGTGCTTTAGGCAGAGAACGAGGGATACAATAGCTCTTAAAGTGCGCAATATATTACACCCCGACCATACACATCTACATCCCAAATATGTGGATACTTTGAGTCCGATTACCTCACGACTATTTGTACACTTTAAAGTGGACAAGAAAAACGACAATCAGATGAGCAAGGCGAGCATTGAATATTGTTACTCGGAGAATAACCGAGCACTGTCCCCGCTAGTCGGGATTCGGCAAACCTTTGCTCGGCTTTCAGTGAATCCCGCATGTCTAGAACTACCTTCATATTAAAAGCACTTTTAAGACTTATACTAAGTATTTGCTTTATCTAAAACAAGAAATATTGTCATAAATTTTTTGTTTTAAGTGACATGGTTCAAAATAAGCAAATACAAATTCATATAGTAATTATCATAAAGTGGACACATACTATGTTTACCAGATTATCACCAATCTTTTCCCATTCATTCGGACTGTATTTTTCCTATAAAAGAATATAAAATAAATATTAGAACAGCTAGACGAAATTATCTACTGGGATAATGTGTAAGGATTTACCCATACAGTCCGTTGTAACATGTAAAGCGAGGGTGAGAAGAAGGTGTGAAAAAAAATTTTAAAATCGAACATTATCAATTTGTTGTTGTTTATCTGTAAAATGAAAACGTTTGTATTTTGCGACAGGGTCGGATTTAATGAACAACCGGCCGTTAATACAATCGAAAAGCGAAAATTCAATTGCTAGGAGCTAAAAAGCGACTCTCATTCTTCCCCAGCACAGTGGAAACAATCGTTTTTCCAAATATCTGTAACATAATAACATACATGAAACCTGTCTGCTCGACGATGTTATTTTTCATTTGTCACTGAGCATCGATTATTCGATTGAAAAAATCGAACTTGAAAATGATTTGACTACTGGCACTGACAACTGGCACTTGGCAGAAATCAGACGCCCTTAGACAGGCAAAAACAAAACAAAAATATATTCCCCTAAGTTATAACTAATAAATTCCCACATACCCACTAACTCTACTCTACTCCTTCAACTACCTATACCATTCTCCTATCAATAGACTGCACAGATTTGGAAACATAATTAATAATAATATCGACTTCTTTAACAGCTCTCTCGACCAGTTCAGAAATTCTTTAAAACCTATTCTCCTCCAATCAATCCTTTCCTTATATTCCAGATATATGCCTACCTAAACCATCACCGAGCCACCTCCGAATTACACCATACCAGTCATGTTGCATGGTGTGTAATGTTCACCAGGCTTCGGTAGACTCTTTGACCAACATGTGGAGATAACAGCAAAAATCATCAGAGAACGGATTTCTCCAATTATTTTCTGTCCAATTCTGATGTTCTCTAGAAAACTCCATTCAGGCCGTTCAATGATTTATCGGCACTTGCTGGCCTCCTGGGGTATAAATTTAGTCTTGGCAGAAACATTGACATTGCTTGCGATTCACAGCTGGTGGGAGGTCTCAGAAGCAGTAGAATTGGTGTTGTGAAGAGCTTGGATTAACAAAAATCTTATCATCCCTTGGTTCTGTCGCTCTCAGTAGTTCCATGACAGGAATCAGTCAATGAAGTTCACCAATTAATAAAAAAAAAAAACTAAGTGAGCCGCATGTTTTGTGGAGCAGTGTATATTCCAAATATTCCTAGTTGGACACGGGCTAGTGATCTGGTGAATTTTTGCTGATGAGGGTACCACAGAGTGACCTCAGGGCCAAAGCCCCAGACCTCCTGAGGTTGTGGACTTTTCCATAGTAGTTTAACTATAATGGTTTTTACAGGAGGAGACAGAGGAGCCCCTGACACATGGACCCACCACACACACACACACACACATATCNTAAAAAAAAAATGATAAGTGAACACTCCATTTTTTTACAAGAAAGAAAAACATCAACAAATTACAGTTGTACAAGACTAAAGAGGCAAAAGTTATTTAAGAAGCCAAAATAAAATCATACATTTATTTAGTTCATCAATGATAATTATAATTTTTGAGCATGTTGAATATTTATGAGTTTTTAAATTGTTGAACCATATGGTTAGAATTATCTGTTGATTGAAATAGAAGTCTTGTTGTTTTCTACTGCATCTTCCTGCTTTTGTTTATAAAATTAATAATACTTAATAATTTTGTATCAGCAGAGATTTTTATTGCTTAAAATATTCTAAAAGGCCATTAATTTAGATGATAACTATCACAATAGATGATAAATAAAGATAATTATTACCTTGTGCCCATGTTAGAAAATTTTCACTCAAAATTCTACATCACAAACTAAGAGGATATTTATCTATTTTTTATTTTTGTAAGACAAAAATTTGGACTTCGTCAGATGTTTTATACATTAACCAATGTTTTACATTGAATTTTTTTCCTTACCAACTTTATTGAAATATTGATATAACGACAAAAATAATACATTGTTCTTATTACAAAATTTCATGTATTGCACGTTATAACAAATTGAGAGTATAGGTATCCATAAAACCTAATCCGTGTAAGGGCTTACAAATTCTAATAATAATTTTTTAACAATAAAATAATACACAAATTATACAATTAAAAAAATTCTTATTGCAGTTAGCTAGTTGAAAAAGCTTATTGAAACGAATTAGGATTTTGTGCTCAGTAATAAACAATTACAGTTGACTCTTGATAATTTGAAATCTGACCACAAAAATAATTCAAATTTTGAATAGAAAAGAAAATCAAATTACTAAGGATAGATATGTATTTTATGTATTTTTACAAGGTATTACTTCAACTGTACAGACATAAATCATTGTAAAAATAATGATAAAGTGCAAATAGATCAACTGAAAAATTGAACATTGCTATGTATTTTTAAAAAAATTTGTAAAGTTTATATAAAGAATTTCAGTTCTTTTATTGTGTTCACGATCACAACAATAGAGGTGTAAACAACAGATTAAGGGTAATAAAACATAAAACAACAAATCATTTATAGTTGAAGGAACATGTAATTTCAATAATTTAAATGGAAATTTAAATATAGAACAAGAAAACTCAATAGGAAACATTAGAACAAAAAATATTGAAGCTAGTTAAATAAATTCCTACTCAATTTATAAATATGTGATGATGCATTTGATGGACTGTAAATGTACTAATTATTATGATAAAACATAGTGTTCATTATGTAAGGAAGGAGAAAAATGTACACATAGTATAAATAAAAAGGAGTTAAGTTGTCACTTTTTCTCTATCACTTCTCTCACTCTCTCCTCTCTCTCTCTCTCTCTCTCTCTCTCTCTCTCTCTTTCTTTTTCTCCCTTTCTACTATCCTCCAGTTTTTGTTAAATTAAACTGAAGGAGATTTCAATTTACAATAAAAATTGTTGGTATCATGAATCTTCATCATCGTCAAAAATCATCGCCATCTAAATGTTTTACCATCGAGATAAGATTCGATTTTCTAGATTTTGCTCACAAACAGCCAAGCTTTTTTAAACCAATTTTATCACAAAATTTAACTTGAAGCTAATTATGAACAAAGTTTTCCAGCAATTAATAATGAATATTTTTTTTACACATTTACAGCTAGACAACAAAAGTAAAACTTAATTACTTGTACAAATTGTTTGGTTTTTATTATTCATTAAGTTAAAAATAAACAGGCAATAAATCAGAAAATAGGGATCTATCATCTTTTGTGCCATGTGCTAAAGTTACACTATAATCATGTACACATTTCGTCTCAAAAGTTGTTTCTAAGACACATATCAAGAGCAATGTAACTTTCTTGGCTGGTATCTGCTGAAATATCATTGTCCAGAAATTAGAAGCATATATCTGTCCTACTAATTCACATGATATTACAAAAAAACAATTTTATATAACAGCGGAACAATTGTTTAAAAAAACTTTCAAAGAAATGGTTAAATTTAAAAAATCGGCTGTCTGTGATCATAATCATTAAAATAAAAGATATTTTAATCAACCGAGTTATATAAATAATATATTAACATAACTGTTATATATAAAAAGTATATATAATAGTTATATATAATAACAATCAACCAGGGTGATTTGGTAAGAACTCAATCCAAATAAGTATACACATTCTCTTAATTTTAACGTGTTTTTAAAAATTGATTAGTCAATGTTTATAATAAATAATCATTATAATAATAAATATTGTTCAGGTAGCAATTTTTGCACATATAATACGGAAGACTGGCAGTGAAGAGTAGTTGAGGCATCATCTATTGACGGAGTTTGATTGGAGCACTTCATCACAGATGGCAATGTCTAGATGAAATGCTCAGAGAAAATATTTGAAATTGCTTCGGTTTACCGACAAACAAATTATTTAGAAGTTAGTTTATTATAAATGGACTTGTAAAATAGATAATAACGACGTGTAAGTTTAGGAGGTACAATTCTGAGGATCGTTCTATGAAAATGTAATTTTAATGATAATACACTTTAATGTTTAGTATAATACACCTTCACTTGTTCGACAACTAAATTAAAAAAAGAGCGAGAACAGAAGAACTAGAATGTTTAATTTGGGCCAAACAATTTTATTATTGTAACTATGGGCGTATTTGTTATCCGTTTACAAACACGGCGCTCGGACATACTAAACCTGCAAGACCGTCAGGTTCGGCATAACTGTATCTCAATTCTTTGAGGCGCTGACGACGAGTCGTGATAAGAAAATTAACATTCAAATAATTTTAAATTATTCACATTATTTCTCACAAATACGGTTATTTACGGGAATAAATTATTTTTCTCATTCATTTGATATATCGGAAGATATTAGATTAGCGAATTAGATAGGAATTCGCTAATTCTGAAACTTGCCAATCTGGGCTTCTCTTTCAAAATACTGAATACTCTGAAATCTATATTTGGTTCTATGGTTTCATTTGTGCGATATAAAAATGTTATTTCGAAGTTTTTCCAGATTAAAATCGGCGTGAGACAAGGACGTTTGTTAAGCCAAATCCTATTTTCCTTGTTTTTAGATGACTTAAGTTCCATTCTTGAATGTGGCATCACTAAAGGGGACAAATTTATTATTATCCTTTTGTACGCGGATGATTTAGTGATCCTATCAGATAAAGTCGAGGACATTCAAAGAAATTTTAATCTATTAGAAGGCTTAGAAGAAACTTAACCGTCAACCTGGAGAAATCAAAAAATTTAATTTTTAGGCTCGGTCAGAGAGTTTGAGTTACAATGGCAAGAAGATAGATGTTGTAAACAACTACATACACCTAGGGGTCAGTCTTTCGTCGAAATTATCTTTTATATTGAAGATGAGCTCAATAAAGATAGAAACGTTGGCACGATAAAGAAAATGTTTTTCCAAAACATACGTCACTCCAGACCGCATCTCACGATCTCCAAATAATCTTTAACTAACGGCTAACGGTCACCACACATAAATGGAGATGCTTTTCACTTTGTGGCTGAGTGCTCGATTTTGTCAGAATATCGCCTTCTGGGTGTTCCTAGCCTTTCCCGCACTGTATTCGTCCAGCCCTTAAACGAAATAAGGAATTGTAAAGCCCTTACATAAGCTCGCGATGCGTGGCAATATAGGTATCGACTGATTCAGCAGTTCAATTGGTGAGAGCTTTGCACGGAAACCAAAAAAAAAGAAAAGTAAATGTAAATTGTACGTATCTATATAAAATGAATACTAGTAGGCAGTTTTAAGTGGTAATTTTAATTTGATTTGGTTTCACTTTTACCTCTCACTCCCGACAGACGGATTGTTATCCATGTTATATTGTACTTTTTTTCTATTTTTCTGTGTATTGTGTAAAATCT